AAATTAAAATCAAGACGAAATACAGTTATACAACTACTAAAATGACTAAAATAAAAAGTACTTGTAATACCAAGTGCTGACAAGGATGCAGAGCAACTAGAACTTTCATGCATTGCTAGTTGAGATGCAAAATGACACAAAATTTAGCAGTTTCTCAAAAACATATGTGTACTTTTATTATCCAAAAGTCATACCCATGGACCAAAATCTATTTTTATACAAAAGTCTATAGGTGAATGTTTCTTGGACCTCTATTTGTAACTGCCAAAACCATTAATAATCCAAATGACCTTTATAAGTGATTAGATAAACAAACTTTAATAATAGAGTTTAATATTAAGTTTAATATTACTCAGTGATAAAAAGCAATTTTCTTCTCAATCTCAAAGACATTTTGCTAAATGAAAGGAGTCAGTCTTAAAAGGTTACATACTATGATTCCATTTTTATGGAATTCTAAAAGAAAACCAAGCTACAATAATGAAGAACAGATAATAGATTGCCAGAGGCTAGGAGTGGGGAGAGGGTGTGATACCAGGAAAGCACCAAGGAGTTTTGGGAGGGTAATGGGACTGTTCTGTATATTGATTGTGGTGACCATTTCACAAACCTATGCCTGTGTTAACACTCACATAACTACATACCCATAAAGCCCATGTTTTCATATGATCATTTAAAATTTATCATTAAAATATGACTGTCAGAAGAACAAAAAGGAGCAAACTGAACCTGTGAACAATATCCTGAATGAACTCCATTCCTTGACCTATTTGAAGACTACACTCTCATCTCCATGTCTGTGAGATCTCAGGTGCCAGGAACTACAACTCCCAGCATCCCATGAACCTGACTTCCTGAATGAAGGACTGCTGGGAACTAGGAGCAGAGTTTAGTGGCTCACTCTCTTGCTTTTCAGTTCTCACTTGCTCTGGAAAGAGACACATAGGAGATGTGGCAAGACATAAAAAGACACTTGGGAGAGATATTTGGAAGGGACATCTGGATGAGAGACACCTGTGGAGGCTGCCCCTGGTCCTTGGCAGAGAAAATAGCAGCTGTTTTCTTGATGTGCTATATTTTAAATTTTAAGTATCTCCTGGCCCAGCTCTCTGGGACCTGCCTAACCCCCTTCTTGTGGTTCTTTGTCAGAAGGTCCCTTAGACTTGTGGCAAGCTTTCAGGGCTTAGCAGCCCCTTCTCGAGCCAAGCCTACTTGGCAGGACATTTGCCCACAAGGGAATTGGTAAAATTTGGAGTTTTATTGGGAAAATACTATTTGAAATCCTTTTTGTCTCTTTCTATGCACAGCAAGTCTATTAAAAACCTATAACATTAAGATTATACTTCCTTTGCCTTTGTGCACATGGATGTCTGAATCCTTCTTAGGATGTGCACCCATTAATAGTTTGGGGTCCTTGGGTAACTTTAGTTATGTGCTAACATGACAACACGAAAAAAAAACAGAAAAGGACTAAAAATCCATAACTAAGTTCCTACACTTGTTACAGTATATGTATCAAGGCAGTGTAGCATTAAGACTCAAAACAGGGAAACCTCCCTGGTGGCCTAGGGGTTAAGTCTCAGTGCTGTCACCACTATGGCCTAAGATCAATCCCCGGCCAGGGAGCTACCAACATGGAGCAGCAGACCTCTCTTATCTCATCCTCTGTTCCCCTCAGTAGTATATTTCAGTAGTTCCACCTGTTCTGCTACCAACTCTGTCTCTGGTGAATTTTTTCACACCCCGTACCTCTGGCCTACACCCCAGTTCTTCTATGCAAAAATAAATAACCTTTTTTTTTTTTTTTAAAAAGAGGGCTCAAAACACATTACATTGATTAAGTATACTGATCAGGCTAGCAGTGTCATGCTGCTCCATGCTGTCATTCAGAGATCCAGGTTCTTTTTTTATCAGCAAGAGGATAATATTAACCTCAACACTGAAAGGTGATCATGGCCATGTCTGTGATGGGAGCTCAGAGTATAAAATGTAGGATGGAAGTTTTCATGAGGTCAAAAACCAAAGGTGGAGGCAGAAAGGATTATTGGTTGTTACAGAAAGCCAATCCAACCCAACCCCAAGCAGAAAATTCCAGAGTAATTCCATCAAAAAACTATATAAGGTTACCCCTTGCTCTAGCAAAAGACAACTCTCTAAGACTGCTGCCCACCTGTGTCTATGCAGACATCTTTTTCATCATAAATTTGCCATGAGCCACTGAATAGAGACACTGCTGAATTCATTCTCAGAGGGACCCAAGAACCCCACATACCAAACCCCAACATCAGCAACCAGACCACAGGAAGGGGGAAAGAGGAGAAGTGGTGAGTAAGAAGTTTCTCTTAAATCCATGAGTCACAAGGCTTATTATTGCCTTCTGGCTCACTAAGAAGAACTTAGTCAAGTAACTTCAAGAGAAGGTAAAAAAATACATAGTCTCCAGCTAACTAAAGTTCTGTGATGATTAAAGAAAAGAAAAATGAATTGGGAGGACAATCAACACATTGTTAACATCCAACTCTAACCATCTAAATAGACACACCCATTATTTCTCTCCCACTTCACACTCATTTATTCAGTTCAAAAAAGATAATTCAAGGTCCCACCCAGTTACTGTAACTAATTCAAAGCTCAAAATGTCCAGATGACGGTCAGTACTGTTTGCCATGTCACGAGATGGCTTCTTAGAGTTCAATTTTAGCAGGCAGGCTAAAGGGTACTGAACAGGGTGGTCCCCAGGAAAAGGGGAAGTTCTGGGTTCCCTGCTCCACCCAAGGAGGGTGGAGCTGAGCAGGGAGGAGAAGAAGCTGGAGAGGAGACTGAGGAAGGAAGGAAGCAGGATGGGGAGCCAGAAGGAGACCTGGAGGACGCACGTGGAGCAGAGAGACATGTGAAGAAACTGTCCTTGACTTTTGGCCCTGGACTGGTTGAAACAGACATGGGTGGAAGACCCACAGGGAGGTTAACAATGGCAGCTTTTATCTTGATTTTTGATTTTACTCTTTTCCCCCCAAACTTGTCTGGCTATTTCTGACTCTTTTCTGTGGGTCCCCATTAAAAGTTGCTTTGGACTTGTGGCAGGCTTTCAGGCCTTGCTCTAGGCCAATCCCGTTTGGCTGGACTTTTACCCACGAGGGGACAGGTAACTTTGGATGCTTGATTTAGAAACTTTGTCTTTTCTGTATTGTTCACTAATTGTACTAAATTTCCTTTCCATTAAAGGTGTTATGTATTTTGTCTTGATGCGGTGTATGGCAGAAACTATTTAGAGCAGGCAGGTTTGGGGGTTCTGGGGTGCCCCTCTCCCTGACCTGTAACAGTACTGTTACAGGGCAGCCCCGATATAAAATGGGTTGCCTGACTGTGGGTCCTCACTCGCGCACTTAAAAGGGACTTATCAATACTCCACTGCAGGCACACACAAAAGGTTAATAAAAGATTTATTTACAAGGGAAGGGGAAATGAGGAAATGTACAACTCAGGGATAAAAGAGGGAGATAAAGTCTTAAATGAGTCCTACCAGTACTGCCAACATGGAATCCCAAATGGCATGCTGAGAGTTGGCGGCGAGCCAAGAGCTGTGAAGCCAAGAGGAGAGAGACCCCAAGGCCCACGTGTCTGGTTTTTTTTTTTTTAAAAAAGATTTATTTATTTATACAAGAACCAGGGCACAGGCCAGATGTGTGGGAGGATGAGATGATTCACCAGAGACAGAGCAGGGAACAGAACAGGCAGACTGACTGAAACACACTGCTGAGGGGAGCAGCGGGCGAGACAAGAGAGGTCTGCCCCACCATGTGGGATTCTCCCCAGCCGGCCAGGATCGGACCCGCGCCACGGAGGCTGCGGACAGCTTCACAGTGCAGCGCTCAACCACATGCGCCACCAAGGAGGCCCATGTCTGGTTTTTATACCAAACCTGGCTGCTTTACTCCACCCTCAGGTCCCAGCAACCTTCCCTTTGGTGGTGATGGGATTTGTCTTTCCCAATGTCCTGATGGCTTTGGTCTGGAGTGGGGGTGGAGTCCACAAAGCCTGTATGGAATTAACTCTGGACATCCTTTCCCCCTAACAGTACCACAAGGCCCCCAAACTTGCATGCTCTAAAAAGGTTCTGCCATCAACCACGCAAAGACAAAGCATACTCTTAGTGCAAAAGAACTTTAATAGGAAAGAACTTTAATAGATTAGTGTGCATAGTGAGGAAAAAAGAAAGGGGATCTAGCTTTCCAATTAAACACCCAAAGTTACCCATCCCCTAGTGGGTAAACCCAAACAGACTTGGGCCAAAGCAGGGCCACTGAGGCCCAAAAGCTTACCACAAGTCTAAGGCACCTTCTGGCAGGGAACCATAGACAAGGGACAGAAGGGCCCAGGCAAGTCTGAGACAAAAGGCGCAAAATCCAAGTACAAATCAAGGTAACAGCTGCCATTACCAGCCTCCCCACAAGTTTCTCCCCCATTTCTCTTCCAAGTGTCTCTGTGTGTTTCTCCTCCTAATCCCCCAAATCCCTACGGCAAGCAGGTGGGCCTTCTTTTTCTCATGTCTCTGTTCCACCTGCCTCCTCCAAGCTTTCTCTCTAAGACTCTTCCAGAGTCTTCAACTTCTCCACTCAGTTCCACCCTTCATTAGGTGAGCAGGGAACACAGAGCCTCCCCTTTCTATGGAGATTACATTCTGTTACAAAAGAAGATGACAAGATAAAGAGAAGGGAGATTTTTGAGGAAAAAGGATAGCTGTCTGAGATAAGTGGGAATTGGAAATTGCCAGGGAAACTGAAAACAATACATTTGTAGAGCTAGGCTTATCACTTCCCCAAGCCTTATAAGAAATTTCCACACTTGCTAAATTCTGTTGTCTGAATGACTCTTCTGGGGGAACTTCTGAGCAACTTGACCTCTGTGGTCATAAAGTCAGACTTCAGTCCACTGGTCTCATTATGATTCAAGATGTTCAATCGATGTTAAAAAAGGTTGGATGTGGTTGAGGGGCGGAGCAACATGGCGGCAAGGAGACACTGCGAGTAAGATCTCCCATTAAAAAAAGTTAATAGGGAGGAAAAGCGGCAGGTCCCAGTGAGAACCGGGACACGGAAGATAAACGGGTGACGCCAGCAAACTGCCCGAAGAAGAAAGTGGCCATAAAAGAGGACCAGAAGGGAGGGAAGCGCAGAACCCTGCTCCCCTCCCCCGCCCCCAGAGGCGGCACTCTCCGACCAGCAGAGAGGAGGAAAACAACAAACCAAAACGGCCAACAAGAACAAAGGACGCAGCAAGCGGGACTGGGAGTGGAAAGGAACTATTGCAGCCACCACACCCCGTGAACGGGAGCTGTGGAGAATCCTGCAGGATCCGCCGCGGAGGTGAGCGAACGGCTCCGGGCGCCATTGAAGAGAGACCCCGCCCCCGGGGAGGAGACCAGCACCAGCTCGCAGCCCCGGCCGCCCGGTAAGCTTGCGGGAAAAGGGGCGCGCTGGAAAAGCAGGCGCGGAGCGCGGTCAGGATTGCGCGGAAAAGCGGCGCGCTGGAAAACCAAGGGCGGATCGGAATCGGGATCGCGCGCGGAAAAGCAGTGCAGTTGAAAAGCAAACGCGGATCCAGATCGCAGCTGCCCAGGTCCCTGCGCCTGCGACCTAGGCTTGCGGGGAGACGCGCGGAGGCCCTCACTGAGTGAGCAGGCCCAGGCGCCCAGGCACGGGAGCGGGATTCAAAAGGCGCCATTCCCGCGCCACTGAACTGGGCTACAGCCTGAGTCCTGGAACTGAGGGCTTTGGAACTGACAACCGGGGCATGAAATTAGGGGCGTGGGTTCCCCACGATGGTGGGGCACAAGGCAGACACAGCACCCCAAAGCCGTTGAGGTTTACCCTACCATTCCCGCTCTATTCCCTGTCCCACGGGGTGGAAAATCAGCTCCCCAAGGGCTCCAGGAGAGATCTCTGGCGCCACCTAGCGACTTGAAGCCAGCAGAGGCGCCTAGAGGAGCCAGTGGCCAGCTGGGGAGTTAGCCCACGCCGGGCCCCTTCCGACCAGTAGTCTGAGCCCACAGGGGGAGCGAGCACCCACAGCCGGGGCAGACCAGGCACGCAGAAGAGTGTGCCTGAGACCAGACATGCAGGGAGTGTGTCCCACATCACCATCTTAGAACAGGGACATTTCTTCAGTAAAGACTACCTGCAGAAGGCTTCCTCAGGAGCCAGAGGTGAGCAGGGGAAGTTCGCCCACGCCAGACCCCCTCTGGCCTGCAGTCCAAGCCCAGAGGGGGAGCAGGAACCCACCGCCGGGGCAGACCAGCCGCACAGGGGAGTGGGTCCCCACATCGGCATTTTAGAACAGGGACCTTTCTCCAGTAAAGACTGCTTGAAACTGACAGATGACTCCTGGAGGAACCAGAGGAGAGCAGAGAAGCTCACCCAAGATGCCGGCCAGTCCCAACTACACAGTGTCCCAACGCATACGGCAAATTAGAAAACAGACAGTAGGGAGGAGAAGAACCACACGCAACCTAGCAACTCCCCAGGGAAAAAGCACACCACAAAAATAAAACCAGCCCCCAGATTGCAACGACAGTAACTTGGAAGAACTTTTGAGCCTTCCAGAAAGAGAATTTAAAATTGACGTGATTAAAAAACTGACAGAAGTCATAAAGGAAAACAATGATAAGGGAAAAATAATCAACGATCAGAAGAATGCAATTGAGTCCCTAGAGAGGGAAAACAATGGTCAGAAGAATGAAATTGAGTCCCTAAAGAGGGAAGTAAAAGAAATGCAGGAGATCAAAGAATTAATGGAAGAACTAAAGAATTCTGGGAAAAGCAATGAAAGCAGAATAGATGAAATGGAAGAACGAATAAGTACTCTTGAAGACACAGAAATAAAAAGAACCAAAACAGAAAAGGAAAGAGAAGTACGAAGGAAAAAGAACAAAGAAAGACTTCGGGAACTATCTGACTCCATGAGGAAAGGAAATATAAGAGTTATAGGAATACCAGAAGGAGAGGAGAGAGATGTAGGAACAGAGAAAATATTCAAAGAGATAATTGAAGAGAACTTCCCAAATGTGAAGAAGGAGCTGAAAATTGATATACAAGAAGCAAGAAGAACACCAAACTTCCACGACGAAAGGAAAAATACAGCAAAACACATAATAGTAAAGCTCCCAAGAATCCAGGACAAGGAAAAAATAATGAAGCTGGCAAGAGGGAAGAAACAGATAACATTCAAAGGAAAGCCAATCAGGCTGACATCAGACTTCTCCGAAGAAACACTACGGGCAAGGAGAGAGTGGAGGGACATAGTCAACAGACTCCAAGAAAACAGATGCCAACCAAGAATTCTCTATCCCGCAAAGCTCTCCTTCCTCTTTGAAGAAAGAATATGGACCTTCCCAGACAAACAGAAACTCCGGAATTTCATTGCAACTAAACCCCCACTCCAAAAAATACTACAAGGAGTCCTAAAGCCAGAACCTCAGAGGGACGAATAACAATGAAAGAAGGCCAAAAAAAAAAAAGTTATTAAAGGAATAAATAAATAAAATCAAAGGAAAGACAAACACAATGGCAAATACAGATGCTAACATATCAATATTAACTCTAAATGTAAATGGACTAAACTCTTCAATAAAAAGACACAGAGTTGCAGCCTGGATTAAGAAATAAAACCCAACCTTTTGCTGTCTCCAGGAAACACATTTAGCTACAAAAGATAAAAATAGGCTCAAAGTTAAAGGATGGAAAACAATCCTACAAGCAAATGGACCAAAAAAGAAAGCAGGAACAGCTATACTTATATCAGATAAAACAGATTTCAAACTCAAAAAGATAAAAAGAGACCCCAATGGTCACTACATTATGATCAAGGGGACAATACTTCAAGAAGAAATAACACTCATTAACATATACTCACCAAACGAAGGAGCACCAAAATATATCAGACAACTGTTGTCCTCTCTGAAAACAGACATCAGAGAAAACACATACGTAGTGGGAGACTTCAACACACCACTATCAACAATGGATAGATCAACAAGACAAAAAATAAGTAAAGAAACCAGAGCTCTAAATAAGGACCTAGAGCAATTGGGCTTAACAGACATCTATAGAACACTAAACCCCAAAAAAACGGAGTACACATTTTTCTCAAGCGCACACGGATCATTCTCCAGGATCGATCACATACTGGGGCACAAGACAAACATCAACAGATACACCAAGATTGAAATCATATCAACCATCTTTTCTGACCATGAAGGCATCAAACTAGAAATAAACCATAAAAAGAAGGCAAGGAACTTTCCTACCTCATGGAGATTAAAAACCACACTACTGGAAGACCACTGGACTAATGAGGAGATCAAAGAAGAAATTAAAAATTCTTTGAATTGAACGACAAGGAGGACACCAATATCCTAAATGTATGGGATGCAGCAAAAGCAGTAATAAGAGGAAAATATATAGCAATAGAAGCTCACATCAAGAAACAAGAAAGAACTCAAAGAAACAACCTAATCTCGAAGCTCAAAGATCTAGAAAAAGAACAACAAAAAAACCCCAAAACCAGTAGAAGAAAAGAAATAATAAAAACAAAAGCAGAAATAAATGAAATTGAAACTAAAAAAAAACAATCCAAAAGATCAATGAAACCAAGAGCTGGTTCTTTGAACAAATCAATAAAATAGACAAACCCTAGCCAGGCTCACAAAGGAAAAAAGGGAGAAAGCACAAATAAACAGGATCATCAATGAATGAAAGAGGAGAAATCACAACGGACACAGCAGAAATCAAAAGAATAATCAGTAACTACTATGAACAGTTACATGGAAACAAGTTTAACAATCTAGAGGAGATGGACAAATTCCTACAACTCTACAATCACTCAAAGCTAGATAAAGAAGAAATAGAACACCTAAACAGACCAATTACAAGCAGCGAAATTGAAATGGTAATCAAAAACCTCCCCAAAAACAAAAGCCCAGGACCTGATGGATTTACAAATGAATTCTACCAAACATTCAGAGACGAATTAGTGCCTATCCTTCACAAACTCTTCCAAAAAATTGAGAAGGAAGGGACAATACCAAACACGTTCTATGAAGCCAACATTACACTAATACCAAAACCAAACAAGGACAACACAAAAAAGGAAAACTACAGGCCAATCTCCCTAATGAACACTGATGCAAAAATCCTCAATAAAATTTTAGCTATCAGAATCCAACAATGTATCCATAAGATAATTCACCACGACCAAGTAGGATTCATTCCAGGGACACAAGGATGGTTTAACATCCGAAAATCAATCAACGTTATCCAACACATCAACAAAAAGAAATATAAAAACCATATGATAATATCAATAGATGCTGAGAAAGCTTTCGACAAAGTACAACACCCATTCATGATAAAAGCCCTTGAAATTCTTGGGATACAAGGAACATACCTCAACATCATAAAGGCCATCTATGACAAGCCAACAGCCAGTATCATTCTCAATGGTGAAAAGCTGAAAGCAATTCCATTAAGATCTGGAACAAGACAAGGATGTCCACTCTCACCACTGCTTTTCAATATAATACTGGAAGTCCTAGCCAGAGCAATAAGACAAGAGAAAGACATCCAAGGAATCCAAATAGGAAAAGAAGAAGTCAAACTATCACTATTTGCAGATGATATGATAATATACATAGAGAACCCCAAAAAGTCCACAGAAAAACTAATTCAACTCATCAATCAGTTCAGTAAAGTGGCAGGATACAAAATCAACACGCAAAAGTCAGTAGCCTTCCTATACACAAACAATAAATCTGAAGAAGAAGAAATCAAAAAAACCATCCCTTTTTTTATTGAAACAAAAAAAATCAAATATTTGGGAATAAATCTAACAAAAAGGTAAAGGACCTATACAAAGAAAACTATAAAACACTGTTAAAAGAAATAGAAGAAGACACAAAGAAATGGAAAGACATCCCCTGCTCATGGATTGGAAGAATAAACATTATTAAAATGGCCATCCTTCCAAAAGCAATATACAGATTCAATGCTATTCCAATCAAAATTTCAATGTCATTCTTCAAAGAAATAGAACAATTATTGATGAAATTCATATGGAATCACAAAAAACCCCGAATAGCCAAAGCTCTCCTGAAAAAAAAAGAAGGGAATGGAGGCATCACACTCCCAGACTTCAAACTCTACTACAAAGCCATAATCATCAAAACTGCATGGTATTGGAACAAGAACAGACATACAGACCAATGGAATCGAATAGAAAATCCAGAAATAAACCCACAGATTTATGGTCAACTAATCTTTGACAAAGGAGCAAAGACTATGCATTGGAGCAAAGAAAGTTTGTTCAATAAATGGTGCTGGGAAAACTGGGTCACTACATGCAAAAGAATGAAGCTTGACCACTACCTCACACCACACACAAAAATCAACTCAAAATGGATTAAAGAACTAGACATAAGACCTGAAACCATAAAATATATAGAAGGAAATATAGGCGAAACACTACGTGATTTGCACATCAAAGACATCTTTACAGACACATCACCCAAAGCAGTGATAGTGAAGGCGAAGATAAACAGCTGGGACTACATCAAATTAAAGAGCTTCTGCACAGCAAAAGAGACAATAACAAAAACAAAGAGAAACCCCACCAACTGGGAGAACATTTTTGCACCCAACACTAATGATAAAGGACTGATCACAAAAATCTGCAAAGAGCTGATGAGACTCAACAACAACAAAGAAAAGAATCCAGTCAAAAAATGGGCAGAAGAGCTAAAAAGAAACTTCTCTGAAGAGGAAATGCAAATGGCCAACAGGCATATGAAAAAATGTTCAACATCACTTGTCATCAGGGAAATGCAAATCAAAACTACCATGAGATACCATCTTACACCAGTGAGAATGGCACATATTAAAAAAACTAGCAACAACAAATGTTGGCGAGGGTGTGGAGAAAAAGGAACTCTTCTGCACTGTTGGTGGGAGTGCAAACTGGTCCAACCACTGTGGAGAGCTGTGTGGAGATTTCTGGACCTACTAAACATAGAGCTTCCATATGATCCAGCAATTCCACTCCTAGGTATTTACCCAAAGAACACAGAAACATCAATTCCAAAGAACACCTGCACCCCTATGTTTATAGCAGCACTGTTTACAATAGCTAAGCTTTGGAAACAACCCAAATGCCCAAAAATAGATGACTGGATCAAGAAGATGTGGTACATATATACCATGGAATATTACTCAGCATTCAAAAAAGATAAACACATGCAATTTGCAGCAACATGGATGGCACTGGAAGGGATCATGCTCAGCGAAATAAGCCAAAAGAAAAAGAAAAATACCGGATGGTCTCACTCATAGCAGGAATCTAGAAAACTTAAATAAGGGACCAGGAAAACGAATAACTATAAGAAAGTGAAAATCAAAATCAACAAAAAACTACGAACCAGAGACACTTTTAGGGGGGCGGGGGTGGGAGGGGAGGGATTGGGGTCAGAATGGGGGGGCTGCAATTGTATGGGGAATATAAAAATAAAATTTATTATTAAAAAAAAAAAAAAAGGTTGGATGTAACCATTAGGATTTTGAATTGTTTTTACTCTTTTCTTGTAACTGACTCAACATTTTACCATATTTCTGATAGGTAAAATACCAATAACTGTTTTTATTTGGAGATAAATGAAGCACATCTACGTCCATAGTCAAGGGCTAGGTCAAAATCCAGGAAACTGATAGCAAAACTTCCTCCCCTGGGGATTCAAGGAGCTGGTGGTTGGGGTGAGTCTGGAGTGGTAAACAGGCCTCATTCAGGGAGAACAATGGTTGTCAAGGAGGTTGTCACCTGAAAGCAGTGAACAAGTTTGTCTTGCCTCAGAGGATGCATATTCTGATCCCATACCCTCCCCACCAAACATTTTTTTTTTTTGACTTTCAGGAAAATTATGAACATTCAAGAGTGTGAAGTTGTTACTGTGCAACCAGAAAAATAATTAAAGGTCTCAGATGGAACTACACCTCCAGTCAAGGTGAGGAGATATATGTTAGATACGTAGGTATGATAGAAATATATATGTGAGAAAGAAATATATGTATATTGTCTCCCAAAACTCCTGGGGCAATGGAAGGCTCATGTCAGAAAGGCAGATTATCTCTGAATCTCTCTGACTTGATTCCATTCATAGCCTACTTTAGATCCTTAATAAGTACCCATGTTAGCAGTGTTCTCTAGAGAAACAAAATTAATAGGATATGTAGACATATATAGGAAGGAATTTATTTTGTGGGATTAAAACATTTTATTATAAGGCCTCCCCTGGTGGCACAGCAGTTGAGTGCTGGGCTGCGAAGCTGCCCCCGCAGCCTCTGCAGCGCTGGTTCAATCCCAGGCCACCGGCAAGGGTCCCACATGGCATGCAGACCTCTCCTGCTGCTCCCCTCAGCAGTATATTTGTCAGTCTGCCTGTTCTGCTCCCCGCTCTGGCTCTGGTGAATTCTCTCACCCTCCCGTGCTTCTGATTGTACCCAGTGCTTGTATAAATAAATAAATCTTCAAAACAAACAAACAAACAAACAAACAAACAAACAAAACATGTTATTATAGAGACTCCGAAGTCCCACAATATATAATCCAGCTATCTATAAGCTGGAGAGCCAGGAATGCCCATAGTGTGGTTCCATTACAAAACTGGAGGTCTGAGAACCAGGGGAGCCTATGGTGTGATCCCCATCGTGTTCAAAGGCCTGACAATCAAGAGTGCTGATGTCTGTGGCAGAAGACCGATGTCCCAGCTCAACAGAGGGCAGATCAGCATAAGCATGTGCAAGAAGAATAAGAGAGAGAATATTTGAAGAAATATTGGCTAGAGTCTCCCCAAATTTAATGAAATACATGAATACAAACATGCAAGAAGTGCAACAAATTCCAAATTCCAAAGAAATCCACACCAAGACACATTGTAGTCAAATTTCCAAAAGCCGAAACAGAGAACCTTGAAAGCAGCAAGACAGAATCAAATCATCACGTACAAGTGACAGCCTTAATAAGATAACAATAGATTTCCCATCAAAATCTGAAATGGGGTCAGTACCCTTAGGACACCTGTCACATGTTGACTGAGGCTGTCTATTTGAGCCATTTGTGCTAATGTCCTGAGTACTTGCCTTTCAAGTGATAGTGCCATGAATCGACTTCCAGCTCACAAGTTGAACAGATCACAGCAGTTACTATTGTGACTGGGAGGGCTGCAATTGGTTATGCATGTTACAAAAGATTTTATGGTAAAGATCATCGCAACAAATCCATGACCAACTTTCACATTCAGAAAGAAACCCCCAAGACAGTACATGATTTTCACGTGGAGGATTTGGGAAATGAAGCTGTGTGCTGCTGCTTGTGGGAGGTCCAAAAGTTCCTATTCTGTGCTGGCTCTGATATAAAACACAGTAAAGAGTGGGGATAACGTGGAACCTCTGACATTAAGAAAAAAAATACTTAAATGGACAGTCTTGAAGCCGCAAACCAATTGCCTTGATGTTACTTGACTGTTTAATTAGCATGACCACCACTCACTTCCCCTGGGTCTTAGATGTAGTATCTTGCAAAAGGCAGCATTCATATTTATGACTTATTGAGCAACTGGGGTGCACATTGTTTAAATAAAAAGAACAACTTAAAACCAACCTCATATCCTATGGGTTATTTTGGTCTTCTAAGGTTCCATTTATTTACAATAAGATAATAACATTAGACTGTAGTTGTATGTTGAAATAACACATTAAATCTAGATTTTTCTTAAAAAACTAAAAATGAAAATATTATATTACCCAGCATTTCCACTTTTGGGCATCTATCAAAACTATGAAACCATCAATACAAAAACCCATATATTCCAAGATGTTCATAGCAGCATTATTTGCAATAACTAGGATTTGGAAGCAGCCTAAATGCCCATCAGTAGATGATTGGATCAAGAAGATATGGTCTATCCACACTATGGATTACTACTCAGCCACAATGAAAGATTAAATGAAGCCATTTTCAATAAAATGGAGGGAATTTGAGAGAATTGTGCAGTAAATAAATGCAGAACGATGATAACAAATACTGGCCATTTACACAGCAGATGATTTGATACAGTAAAATACTTACAAAAACTAGTGAGTATCAGTAAACTCTGTGAGGGTTCTGAGGTTAAGGGGGGGGGAGGGAAAAGGACAAGAAGATACAAGGACTGGTGTGTGAATGGGAGAGAAGAATAGCACAAAGAAATATTCTAATTTGCTTGTGAATCCTTTTTTGAATCACTTAGAGTTCATTCAAACACATGCATTTCCTGGACCAACCTGGGCTTAAGTAATCTCTTGAGTGGTAAATGACCCAGATCCTTGAGAACTTGCTATATTTCAAAATAATGTTTACCTAAGGATTAAAGAAAATATCTACTTGTAGAAGTCCTTAGAAAGTTTTGAATTAGTGTTTATTGTTTGGGTAAATACCCAGAAGTGGGATTACTGGATCATGTGGTAGTTTTATTTTTAATTTTTTGAGGCCCCTCCATACTGTTTTCTATAGTGGTTGCACCAATTTACATCCCCTCCCCCGCCCCCTGCCAAGAGTGCAGGAGGATTCCTTTTTCTCCATGTCCTGGCCAACACTTACTATTTGCTGACGTTTTGATAATAACCATCCTAACCAGTGTGAGGTGAAATCCCATTGCGGTTTTGACTTATATTTCCCTAATCAGCGATATAGGTCATCTGTATATCTTCTTTGGTGAAATGCCTATTTAGAGTCTCTACCCATTTTTTCAATCAAGTTATATGATTTTTTATTGTTAAGTTGTATGAATTCTTCATATATTTTGGATATTAACCCCCTCTCTGAAATGAGTTTTGTAAATAGCTTCTCCCATTCAGCAGACTGCTTTTCTTTTGGACAATGGTTTCTTTCATTAGGCAGATTTTTTAGTTTGATGTTGCCCCCCCCTCAATTTTTAAAAATATTTTTTTTTGCTTCTTGTGTTATTGGAGACAAATCACAGAAACAGTACAAAGCTCGATGTCAAAGAATGTATTATGTTTTCTTCTGTGCCTCTTATGATTTTTGTACATATTCAAATCTCTAATCCATTTGGTTTAAATTTTGCATATGGTATACAATAGTGGTGTGATTTCATTCTTTAGCATATGGCTGTCTAGTTTTCCCAGTACGATTTATCAAAGTGACTTTCCTTTATCTATTATTTGTTCTTGCCTCCTTTGTCATAAATTAGTTTATGATTTAGCAGTTGTGCTCTTTTTCTGTGTGGTTTTATTTCTTGGTTCTCAATTCTATTCCATTCTTTGTGTGCCATATTAATTCCAATGCTATGTTTTGATTACTGTAGCTTTGCATTATAATTTGAAATCAGAAAACATGATATTTCCATTATTGTTTCTGCTATTTGAGGTCTTTTAGGTTTTTTGTTCTATTTCTGTGAAGAATATCATTGGGATCTTAATAGGGATTGTGTTGAATATATAGCTTTAGGTAAAATGGACATTTTGACAATGTTGAGTCTTCTAATAAATGAGCATGGGCTATCTTTCCATTTCTTGTGTCTTCTTCAATTTCTCTCATCAGCACCTTATAGTTTTCAATGTACAGGTCCTTCACTTCCTTGGTTAAATTTATTCCTAAGTATTTTGGTTGTTTTTTTTTAAGATTTATTTATTTATTTATACAAGCACTGGGTAGAGTCAGAAGCACGGGAGGGGGCCTCCCCGGTGGCGCAGCGGTTGAGCGCTGGGTTGCGAAGCTGCCCGCGGCCTCTGCGGTGCCGGTTCGATCCCCGGCTGCTCCCCGGCCACCGGAGGAGGGTCCCACATGGCGCGCAGACCTCTCCTGCCGCCCGCTGCTCCCCTCAGCAGTGTACTTCGGTCCTTCTGCCTGCTCTGCTCCCCGCTCTGGCTCTGGTGAATTCTCTTGCCCTCCCGCGCTTCTGACTGTGCCCAGTGCATGTATAAACCAAAAACAAACAAACAAAATAATAATAATAATAATAATAATAATAAATAAATAAATAAGACATGCCTCTAGAAAATTAAAAAAAAAAAAAAAGAAGCAGCGGGCGGCAGGAGAGGTCTACACGCCATGTGGGACCCTCCCCCGGCTGCCAGGGATAGAACCAGCGCTGCAGAGGTGGTGGGCAGTTTCCCAACCCAGCGCTCAACCGCTGAGCCACCAGGGAGGCCCCAGTATTTTGTTCTTTTTGATGCAGTTGTAAATGACAGTTGTAAATTGTTTTAATTATCTCTCTTCTGCTAGTTCATTGTTTGCATATAGAAATGCAATAATTTTTGTCTATTGATTTTGTAGCCTGCAACTTTACTGTATTTATTTATTATTTTTGACAATTTTTTTTTTGTGGAGTCTTCAGCATTTTCTACATATAATGTGATATCATCTGCAAATAGTAACAACTTTACTTCTTCCTTTCTAATCTGGACAACTTTTATCTCTTTCTCTTGCCTAAGTGCTCTGACAAGGACTTCCATTACTTTGCTAAATAATAGTGGTGAGAATGGTCATCCTTGGTTTTTTTTTTCCTTAGAAGAAAAGCATTCAGTTTTTCCCCAATGAGTATGATGTTAGCTATGTGTTTCTCACGAATGGTCTTTACAACTTTAGGTATATTTTTCTACCCCATTTTCTTCTATGCCTGTTATAAATGGATACTGAATTTTATCAAATGCTTTTTTCTACATCTATTGAGTTTTTTTTGTTGTAAAGATTTTATATATTTATACAAGAACTGGAGTACAGGTCAGAGGCATGGGATGGTGAGAGAATTCACCAGAGAGAGAGCAGGGAGCGAAACAGGCAGACCAGACGTAAGGCACTGCTGAGGGGAGCAGTGGGCGAGGCAGGAGAGGTCTGTCACACGATGTGGGATTCTCCCTGGCTGGCCGGGAATTGAACCCATGCTGCAGAGGCTGCGGACAGCTTCACAGCTTGGCGCTCAACCCGCTGCGCCACCAGGGAGGCCCTATTTTGTTGTGAATCTAAAACTGCTCTAAAAATAGTCATTAAAATGCTATTTATACTAGTATACTTTCTTAATTCATAAAAATATTTATTACTGTTAAATGAAAACTGTTCTCAATGGTATGCGAATTGCAGACATCTGATATATATTCAAGGATCACAGGTTGAGAAACAGCTGTCCAAGCTCCCAAACCCACACTATGAGAGATTTCTTCTGGAGACTCATCATTATTGCGACAGTCATGATGTTACCAATCATCTTTTTCATTAAAGGAAACCCCTTTGACACTACAATATTCCTGTCCACAGTGAGTATCAGAAAGCATGGGTGGGGCAAAGTTGAATCCCTGGACTGAAAAAAAGGAGACATTACCTAAGTGTCTGCGTGAAATTGTTAGCAACAGAGACATTCAAAGAAGAAAAATAATAACGTTGGAGGACCCATGCATCATTGAGGCAATAAGGGGTGTAGCACTGGAGGAGAGAATTCGGGGCTGGAAATGATGTTTATTTAGTGATTCAGCAAAACTGACCTTCTCTACCCTACCCACGCCCTTTCTTTTTTTTAACAGCAATTACTAAGGTAGAAAATATTTTCTTTGTTTAGTACTTTCCTATTTTGAAAATTTCCCTTGATTTCCAAGTTATACATTTTGCCCCATTTTTATGTAATAGGATCCTGAACCTGGGTGTAGTTAAGTCATTTGTCCTAGTCAAGAAATTTCTAAGGAGCTGAGAAAATCCCACCATAACCCAGGAAATACAAATAAGAAAAGGGAGAGTGGTGGATGAATTTGAATTTGAACTCGAATTTCTAATGGGAAGAAGTTTAGATTGGGGCACTGGAGTGGTATTGTTGTAGAGCAACCCCGATACAAAACGGGGTGCCTGACTGTGGGTCCTCACCCACGCGCTTAAAAGGACTTATCAATGCTCTACTGCAGGCACACGTGAAAGGTTAATAAAAGGTTTATTTACAAGGGAAGGGGAAATGAGGAAATGTACAGCTCTGGGAGAAAAGTGGGAGACAAAATTTTAAATGAGTCCTACCCAATCCGCCGATCAGGAATCCCAAAATGGCGCTCTGAGAGCTGGCCGCCAGCCAGGAGCCGTGAAGCCGGGAGGCGAGCGATCGCGAGCCAGAGAGACCCCAAGGCCCACGTGTCTGGTTTTTATATCCAACCTGGCTGCCCAACTCCACCCTCAGGTCCCAGCCATCTTCCCCTTGGTGGTGATGGGATTTGTCTTTCCCAATGTCTTGATGGCTTTAGTCTGGAGTGGGGGTGGGGTCCACAAAGCCTGCATGGGATTATCTCAGGACATCATTTCCCCCTAACAGTATGACCTTGTCTCATAGCTCTCACACCTAACACATTTTGTCCCTTATGGGATTGAATAACTCATGTCAGAGGGGTGATTGTGGATGAAGATCGGCATAGATGCCACAGTCTCATTCCCTGCATATCATTCAGGGGAGCTAGAGAAAGCTCAGTTCCTTTCACCCCAGGACCCACAACCTATACAGGAAGTCCTAGCATCAAACATTTTTAGACAATAAGGAAGAAACTGAAGGGAACTCTGAGCCAGCCGCCCTGTATCCTGGAGATGTTTTATTATGTTATGCAAAAGGGAATCCACCCAGCATTATCCCCAAAGGGCATGAATCATAGAGCTGAAACTTAACTTTTTTTCTCAGGAAGAAAAGGAGGCACTAGCCTTGCAGAGAGCCCAGATGCAGATCAGCCCTGGCAGAACAAAGCACCTGGAAACCTTCAAAGATATGCAGGAAAACTCTGGATCACTCACAAATGTGAATCCCCATATTTTGCTTGGCGCGCCCCCTGTGGAGAAAAGTGAGTATGTACAAGAGGTACAGAATGTGCAGGAGCAAATCAGGAAAGGGGAGAGAGAGAAGACAGATGAAAAGGAAAAGTGATCTATGACAGCATTTGACACAGATCACTCTCTTCTTTCAAAACTTTCTCAACTGCCTCCAGAACCTCACACTCTTGTTTTCCTCCAACTTCACTGGTAGATTCTCAATTTCCCTCTGGCTGATCTTCTTTCTCCACATGTGATGTTGATGTACCCAAGGATTCAGTCCTTGTTTAGACTGTCTTAGTGATCTCGTTCAGCCCCACAGCCGTAAAGACCATCTTTATGCCACTATAACTCTCAAAATTCAAGCTCCAGCCTAGATCAGTCCGTGGTGCTCACATACCCCTGGCATGGTAACCCTGCTGGCATCCTAAGTCTGTGTCTAAAGAATATGTGGCCTTTTATCTGTCAGGAACTTGTGATTCTCTTTGCTGAAATAGCCTTATTGGCACTGTGCACCCTCCTGAGGTCCAACTAGGACACTCATTTCTTTTGTTTTTATGATGAAAAAAATCATATTTAGAATTAGCCAGCTGGACTCAGCTTAGATGATCCCAATTTTGTTGGCAACATCCAAAAACATCACTGTCAGGAGCCAGTCGAACACACACCTTCTCCTCTCCATCAGGTCTGATCAGGGTGTTGACCTTGGCCGCATCAATGTCACAGAGCTTCTTCACAGCCCATTGGATCTGGTGCTAGTTGCCTGACCTCCACCATGAATACAAGGGTGGTATTGTCCTCCATCTTCCTCATGGCTGAGTCGGTATCAAGGGGACCTTGATGATGTCACAGTGGTCAAGCTTGTTTCTCCCCGGGGTGCTCTTCTGAGGTGCCTTCAGCATCGCAGTGTCTGGGGCCCCAGGAAGGTGGGTGATGTGTGGGTCTTCTTGTTCTTGTGACTGTGAGCATGTTTCAGCACTGCTTTTTTTGGCTTTAAAAGCTTGTTCTTTGGCTTCAGCTTTAGAAGGAACAGAAACTTCCTTTACTTAAGACACCATCTTTGTAAAAAATGAGGAACCTCATTTGATTCCCCATATGTTGCAATCGTATTTGATAAGAAAAAAATAAATCTTGAGACAAAATAAGGTCTTTTTTTCTTTTTTGAGACTTCCTAAATAATAACAAAACAAAACAAAAACAAATAGACAATTATATATCAGAGACATCCTGCAGGGAAGGAGGAGGGAGAGGGATCAGAGGGAGGGAGGCAGGAGCACAGGGGACTGAGGTGATGGTGCACAGGTGCATTGGTGAAGGAAATTCTGTGGGGACTACACCTGAGGGGCGCAGAGAAGGGAAGAAAACATTGTTTAAAAATGAACAGTGAGGGCCTCCCCGGTAGCGCAGCAGTTGAGCACAGGGTTGCGATGCTGTTCGCAGCCTCTGCAGCGCTGGTTCGATCCCCAGCCGCTGGTGAGGGTCCCACAAGGCATGCAGACCTCTCCTGCCGCCTGCTGCTCCCCTCAGCAGTGTATTTCGTCAGTCTGCCTGCTCCGTTCCCTGCTCTGGCTCTGGGGAATCCTCTCACCCTCCCGCACTTCTGACTGTACCCAGTGCTTGTATAAAAAAATAAAATAAAAATGAACAATGATATAAAAAATATATAAATAAAAAGAAAATTTTTAAAAATAAAGGAAAAAAATAAATTGCAAGCCTATTTTTCTTTAACTTCTTTGAGGACAACTGGAATAGCTATTAGAAAATACATGCCTGATAATTCCAACATCAATCTCTCTGAGGACTGATTTAATATATTTGAAATGCTCTTCAATTCCCTGTTTCCTCTGGTAACTTCTATTTCTGGAGTGCTCCTGGTTGACTTCTTTCTCTTCCATTATGTTGGTGATTCATGGTTCCTATTTAGATCCGAGGGGCTACAATGAACAGCGTATTTCTCCCGTCTAAATAAACATCCCTGATTGCCTCTCTGTGAAAGGGGACTGTGAGCGTGGAAACCTCATTAGATTGCCAAAGGGCGGTGATGCAAGGAACAAGTAAGGAACGTGGGCAGTTGGTCTTCTGAGAGATGTGTCCCCCCACCTCTTCTAAGAGAGCCCTGAGTCCTTTGGAGCATTTCTACATTTTTTGCTTATACACACTCTGGCAACCTCAAAATTTTTGAACGTCTGATAGGCCCACCATACCCAGAGCTTCCCGGTAGATGAAAACGCCCTGGGAGCCATGTAGCCCCTTCCCCCGCTGGTCCCCAACTCTGGCCGGGAGTGCTTGGCTTAGAGTCCGAAGCCAACCTCAGGACCCACACACCGGGCTTCAGGTATTTAGACGGAAACCCTTCAGACTTTAGCCTGGGAATGGATATTGCCACCCCAGGCCCTTGGTGGTCCCTGATCCTTGGTTCTGGAAACAAGTGTCAGGGTGAGCATAAGTGTCAGGGTGAGCATCCCAGGGCCCAGTGCTTTGATTTGGTGACTCTGAACTCTGGGGCTTTTGGTAGGAAGGTGAGTATGTGTGTCTTAGGATGGTGAATTCTTCCATTTAGATTTCTCCACTAATCCTTTTCCATATTCTATCTTCTGGGAATTCTTCAAATCCTGGGGTTCTCGCCTGGCACTCTTTCTATTTTTCAATGGGATTTTTGGTGGCAGGAGACATAGATGCAAAAGTTTTTAGTTTATCATTTTTATCTCTCCCACGATACTTTTCAAAAGGTAGTGTTTTTTTGTAACTGACAATTTGTAACCTGATAGTAGCTCATAATATCATGGATACTCAGTTCTGTGGAAGAGAAAATGTGAAATTACTAACACACGAAGTTGGCATGTGGAAAGACCTAGGAGAGTATCCTAATCTCACCCATAGTGACTTTTCTTCACTTTCTCACTTTTCTTCACTTCCCTCAGGTGATAATGGTCCTCTTTTTCTCCCCAATCCTAGAACTGCTGACCATAGGGATTTCCTCAGTGCAGCACCCCAGAAGGAGCTCCCTCTTGGGCACCCTGCAATCTCTCTTCTCTGTTTCCTCCTCATCAGAGCAGAAACACTTTATTGTTCTGGTACACCTAGCATATGCTGACCGCAAGTGGCTTGGTCAAATGAGCGCCAGCATCTCAACCCTCTTTAAACCATACATCCAGGCTGGACAGCTAGTACTGATCAATAGTCCTCTTAAAAGCTACCTTCCCTTGAAGAAACGTAAGAAAAACTGGAATGGCAACCCTGCCTATGTAGCTTTCTACTCCAAGCAGAACATGGATTATGCCTTCCTCATGAACTTTGCTGCCCCGTACTCTGACTATTTCCTGATGATGGCCGATGGTGTGCAATGTGCCCCTGGATTTGTCACCCAGATAGCTACTACTGTGTCTGCCTGGGAGTACAAGCCGTGGGTGACTCTGGAGTTCTCTCAGCTGCCCTTCACTGGAAAACTCTTTCGTACTAGAGACCTCCCAAGCTTTGCTCATTTCCTTCTCCTCTTCTACCAAGAAATGCCCTATGGCTCCCTCCTCATCCATTTTCATGACCTCATGCAACAAGCACCAATCCAATTCTTCCCTTCTCTCTTCCCGGACAGGGGTAATTTCTCCTCCTTTGGAAAAACATCTAATAGCCTCAACGATGAAGAGTTTGAAGAAAATGACATTGGTTCTCCAAGCAACCCTGCTGCCTCCGTCTACACTAACCTGAAGGCTACCAATGACACTGTCCCCATGAACGCCTATAGCTTGAATGGGACTTACTTTTCTAGCAAGGAGGTGGAAGTCGGCAGCCATCTGACAGTGGTTTTGGACAAACCTGCCCAAGTGTTCCGAGTTCAAGTCCTGACTGACTCTCACCTAAAAGATGAGAACCAGCTGAAAGAGGGACAAGTAGAACTGGGCTTTGATGCTACTAATAGAATCACTGACTGTGATGACTATATTCTGCTGGGGCTTCTGATAAATGGCACCCTGAATAAGAGGGTTTTATATAATGAGTCTGGGAAGAAGGTGAAATGTGTGAGATTGCTTGTGACAGCCACTTCACCCTCTGAAATAATATTCAGGCACATCAACCTCTGGATTAACTGAAGTTTAAGAGTATATGAAGAAACCACTGAGAGTTCTGAGAGTGGCTAGGTTGAAAGAGTCTACGGAGTTTCTTTTAACAAACATTAAAGTATTGAACTTGGCCAGGGAGACCTCATTGTTGGGTACTTTCAGGGTTATCAATTCATAAGATTGAGCATGTTGATAGGCTAAGTGAAGGTAACATCTTCTAGGTCCCAGAGAGCCATGGGCAGGTGAAGTGGGCTTGTTAAACCCTTCCCTGATTTTCTTTTTTTTTTTTTAAAGATTTATTTATACAAGAAGTGGGGCACAGGCCAGAGGTGCAGGAGGGTGAAAGGATTCACCAGAGACAGAACGGGGAGCAGAACAGGCAGATGGACCGAAAGCACTGCTGAGGGGAGCAGCAGGCCAGACAGGAGAGGTCTGCTGTGCCGTGTGGGAATCTCCCTGGCCAACAGGGAGTCGAACCCGCACTGCAGAGGTTGCGGACAGCTTCACAGCGTGGCGCTCAACCCACTGCACACCAAGGAGGCCCCTTCCCTGATTTTCTATCCAAAAGGATCTACCATCCAAAATTGTCTCCTTGGATTAAGAACACCAAACTTCTAGAAACAAGAACTTGTGGGTAGGACTGACTGATGCTCCTGTCACAAGACTCAAGCAGTGCAAGAAAGAGACAGAAGATCTTTCATCAAACAAGAAATGGGTTAATTAAAAGCTGAATGGGGGCCTCCCTAGTGGTGCAAGGGGTTGGGACACAACCTGTGAAGCTGTCTGCAGCTACTGCAGCACGAGTTCAATCCCCGGCCAGGGAGCTACTCACATGGCGCAGAAGACCTCTCCTGGCTCACCTGCTGCTCCCCTCAGTGGTGTATTTCAGTCAGTCTGCCTGTTCTGTTCCCCATTCTATCTCTGGTGAATTCTCTTGCCCCCACATTTCTGACCTGTACCCAGTTCTTGTATGCATAAACGGATAAATCTTTAAAAATAAATAAATAAATAAATAAAGCTGAATGGGCTATGTGACCACAAAGATAGATTGGCCAAGAGAGGAACATTTTCTCTGTGATCTTATTTTTTCATGGAAGGTAGTAAGTCATTCACTTGATAACCATTTATGGGGAACCTTTTATGGTTAAGCAGAATCCTCTTCTACGTGAATTCCCAATATGCCAGGATAGTTTTTGAATAGTATCAAAGTTATTGAAAAATAATTTGCTGTGATTTCTAATAGTTCCTATTTCCAGCATCATCTTATCTCTGGGACTATAGGGAAATTGAATTTTTCTGATAGGAAAAACATTGGACATTTTATTAACGTGTTTTTAGCCCATTTTGCTATGAGATCTTTATTCCCAGAAAAATCTGAGCACCAAATCTGGAACCCTGAGTCTTAAATTCATATGTAATATGCAATGTCTAAGCAGAGATTTTCAGTAATTTGAGATCCATAATCCAAAAAGGCAAGGAGAAAGAAAGAGGAAAGGACCAATTTAAGAGGAATATTTGGGTAAAGCTCAAATATAAAGCCAGGTAGTGTGGCCAAAGGATTTTGGTCAATGTGGATAGAAATAAAGAATTTGGGGGCCTCCCTGGTGGTGCAGGGGTTAAAGATAGCACTATCAAGCTATCGCTAGTCACTGCCGCAGGAGTTTGATCCCCAGCCAGCCCGGGAGCTACCCACATGGTGCAACAGACCTCTCCTGTCTCGCCCACTGCTTCCCTCAGCAGTGTATTTCAGTAGATCTACCTGTTCTGCTCCCCAATCTGTCTCTGGTGAATCCTCTCAACCACCCCCACACCTCTGGTTTACACCCCAGTTCTTGTATGCATAAATAAATAAATCTTTTTAAAAAATGGAGAATTTGGAAACAGGACAATGGGATAATGATGATGAAAACAAGAAGGATGTGGGAAAATCAGGATGGGAGGTAAAAGCTTTGAGAGCCTCAGGTGCAAGGGCTGCGGCAAGAGAATATGGCAGCCATAAAAAGTACCCTTCAAATTTCCTGCTACAAGCACCATGATTGACTGACAGTCCCACTGCTGCCCTGTAGATCCACCATAGTGTTGGTGCCAAAGCCACAATTGCCGCCAAATGCTCCCTATCAATGGCGACCACAGTGGAGGTACCACATAAGGCCCATTCTGAAAACATGGGCCCATCCTCAGCTGGTGAGGTTTGCTCGAGGGTGCTCCATAAGCCTATGCAAAACTTTCTCAGAACCAAACTATAGTCTTAGACCCTTCATGGTCAATCCTTCCTTTTCTGTCAACATCCACAGTTTTCAGATCTTCACCCTTATTTGAGGCCTCTCCCCATCTTCACCTTCCCCCTCCATTAGTAAATCTCCCTCCACCAATAAATCTCTTGTATATCTAATCCCATTTTGATATCATCTTGGTAGGTATGAATTAACGAAGGGGCACTAAGAGTGGGAAAATAGTAAGACAAGGATTTGGGGTTGGCTTGCTCATGACCCTCAAGAACACATGAAAATAGAGGTTAAAATTAAGTTAATATGAAATATTATCACTACAGGAGAAATAAACAGTCAGACAATAAGGCTGATACTTAACAACTACAGCCAAGAAAAGGCAAAAAGGAAGGAGCAAGTGGATTTGGACTTTCACACAGGTAAAAACTTGTAACCCTTCATGGTTCCTGGACCTGAGGTAATTTTCAGATCCATGTGCATTAATAGAAGAAATGACCAGGCCTCTAGAAGGAAAGACCTGTATCATGTTTATCCTGTAATTATTTCCCAGTTTTTTCTCCCAAGGGACCTAAAGTCATTTACTTGAGTAATTGAACAACTGGGAAGGTGAGGGTGGAGGGTACTCAGACATATTCTCGAGGGTTGGACATAAGATCTGAGTGGATACTGATATCCAGAGATTCAAAAGTCAGACAAGGCCAGCAGCAGCCCATCAAAAATAAAAATGGTACATCTTGGATGCAGCAGGACCAGCAGGTGTGAGTAAGCTGTGTTAATAGGCAGCCTGGACTCCCACGTCACTTGGCATGCTCCCATGTCATCCAGCTTGGTTACATCATGCTGTCACTCAGCTCACACCTGTGGCCATATGGAAAATTCCATATGGCTAGCTGAAGGATAGGGAAAAGGCCCAAGTTTGATTTACATGTAGGTATGCTCAATACATGAGTATAAGCTGAAAATGGACAGTGACTGAATTACAGCCATATTAAGGGGTGACTTTAAAAGACATAGAGAAGGAAAATCTTCCCATTGGGCAGAGAGCTAGACTGTGTACCTGGTCATTCATGATTGCTGGGCAGGAGCCAAAGGTCTGGCTGTCCAATCAGGGGCCTTGAAGGGAAGGACTAAAGGGATGCCAAGGACTGGAGTAAAGGAATGTGGATGGACATATGGGCGTGGGTACAGTGTGAAGTTTTCTGTTTCACATGTTGTGCACACCAAGTCTCATGGAGGGGGCTCTGAACAACAAAGTGGACACATGGCTCAGGCAGTTGACATCAAGCACCCAGAAGTGGGAAAGTGAGCTCTAGAGTGGAATATCCTAAGGCACTTGGGCCAAGGATGGAGTCAGAGTCTAGATAGATAAATACTAATGCCCCTGGCCCAAGGCAAGAGCCGAGGAGCATCTTCCAATAGCAAACACTTAATAAAATTTCCTTCTCTTTACTACTCTGAATTTCCTCTCCTCATCTTTAATGTGAGGATAAAAAACATGCCAACAGTATTTCCAAGTATTTAATAAGAACACATTAACAAATGACTTCCATCACCATTATCACCGCATCTGGCATGTAAGTTGTTCAGTAAATATTCTCTCTCTTGGAGGATTTGGTTTGGGTCTCTTTGTTTGCATTAAATCAGAAGTGGTGCTTGAAAGTATTGAAACCTGGGTGAAACAAACATCCTTCAATCAAGCACGAGTCCCAGAAATAGCACAAGGTCTTAGAAGGTCCCTGCTGTGCCAGCTCTTAACACTTAGTTTTTGAGGTCTTGGGAGGCCTGAGTCCTCTCAGAGAAGGGGTCCAGATGGCTAGGACATTGGGGCACACCCACTGCTTACTAACTGCTTGTAACTTGGTAAACATCAACCCTGCATTACTCAAGAGTCTTCACATCAAATTTCTCAGATCATATTCTATTGCTTCCTGCCCACCCAAAATTAAGATCATCTAATGTGCCCTTTCAGACTCACCTAAAATATTCCCAGTACACACTCAAATTCTAACTTAAATGTTAACTACTTTGTGAAGCCTTCCCTGATTATCCTGAGACAAAGTTAATAACATCTGTCTGCTTCTTTCATAATAGTTTATGATGAACTCAATGATAGCACTTCTTTCAGTCAAGAAAAGTATTAAGGACCTCCCTGGTGGCACAGGGGGTTAAGATGCAACCTATGAAGCTGTCCCCAGTCACTGCAGCACGAGTCTGATCCCCAGCCAGGGAGCTGCCCACATGGCGCAGCAGACCTCTCCTGACTCACCCGCTGCTCCCATCAGCAGTGATTTTCAGTCAGTCTGCCTGTTCTGTTCCCCACTCTGTCTCTGGTGAATCCTCTCACCCCCCACACCTCTGGCCTGTACCCTGGCTCTTGTATGCATAAATAAATAAATCTTTAAAAAAAAAAAAAGAAATGGGGCCTCCCTGGTGGCGCAAGGGGTTAAGCACCCCACAATGAAGCTGTCTGCAGCCTCTGCAGCACGAGTTTAATGCCCAGCCAGCCAGGGAGCAACCTACATGGCGCAGCAGACCTCTCCTATCTCGCCCGCTGCTCCCCTCAGCAGTGTATTTCAGTCAGTCTGTCTGTTCTGTTCCCCACTCTGTCTCTGGTGAATCCTTTCACCCCCCACATTTCTGGCCTGCACCCCAGCTCTTGTATGCATAAATAAATAAATCTTTTTAAAAAATGACAAGTATTGGTGCAGATGTGGAGAAAAGGGAATCCGTTCACGATGGGTGGGAATGTAAATTGGTGCAGCCACCATGGAAAACAGTATATAGGTTCCACAAACATTTAAAAATAGAGCCACCATACGAAACAGCAGTTCAATTTGGGTGTATATAGCCAAAGGAAATGAAATCTGTATCTCAAAAAGATATAGGCAAGCTATGTTTATTGCAGCATTCTTCACAATAGCCATGATAGAGAAACAACCTAAATGTCCACTGATAGCTGAATGGATAAAGACAATGATTTGTATATAAACAAAGAAACATTATTCAGCATTGAAAAAAGAGGAAATCCCACCATTTTCTACAACTTGAAGCAAATAAGTTTGGAGAACACTGTGCCAAATGAAATAAGTCAGACACAGAAAGACAAATACTGCATGATTTCCTTTGTATAAGAAATCTAAAATAGCCAAACTCATTATGGAAGCAGATTAGAATAGGGTTGCCAGGGACTGGGGAAAGGGAGAAGTGGGGAGCTCTTAGTCAAGGAATATAGTTTCAGTTACGCAAGATTAAGTTCTGGGGATTTAATGTAGAGTGATGAGACTATAGTTAAAAATACTTCATTGCAATGGCCACAGGCATATGAAAAAATGTTCAACATCCCTTATCATCGGGGAAACGCAAATCAAAACCACAAAGAGGCACCACCTTACACCACTAAGAATGGCACATATCAAAAAACCTAGCAACAACAAATGTTGGTGAGGATGTGGTGAAAAAGGAAATCTCCTGCACTGCTGGTGGGAGTGCAAACTGGTCCAGCCACTAGGGAAAGCTGTGTGGAGGTTCTTCAGTCTACTAAAAATGGAGCTACCATACCACCCTGCAATTCCACTCCTAGGGATCTACCCAAATGACACAAAAACATTGATTCAAAAGAACACCTGTACACCTATGCTTAATGCAGCACTATTTACAATAGGTAAAACCTGGAAACAACCCACATGCCCAAAAATAGATGACTGGATCAAGAAGATGTGGTACATATACACAATGGTATACTATTCAGCAATCAGAAAAGATAAACTCATGCCATTCATAGCAACATGGATGAAGCTAGAAGGAATTATGCTCAGTGAAATAAGCCAGAAGGAAAAAGAAAAATATCAGATGGTTTCACTTATAGGAAGAAATTAGGGGAACCAAATAAGACATCAGGGGAAAAAATAATAACAAAACAAAACAAAACAAAACAAAACAAAAACAAACAGACAACTGTAAGCCAGAGACATCCTGCAGAGGAGGAGGAGGGAGAGGGATCAGAGGGAGGGAGGGAGGAGCACAGGGGACTGAGGTGATGGTGCACGGGTGCATTGGGGAAGGAAATTTTATGGGGATTACACTTGGAGGGGGGGAAGCAAGCATTGTTTAAAAATGAGCAATGTGGGCTTCCCTGGTGGCGCAGCAGTTGAGCGTTGGGTTGCGAAGCTGCCCGCAGCCTCTGCGGCGCCGGTTCGATACCCGGCTGCTCCCCGGCCACCAGAGGAGGGTCCCACATGGCGCGCAGACTTCTCCTGCCGCCCGCTGCTCCCCTCAGCAGTGTACTTCGGTCCTTCTGCCTGCTCTGCTCCCCGCTCTGGCTCTGGTGAATTCTCTCACCCTCCCGTGCTTCTGACTGTACCCAGTGCATGTATAAACAAACGAACAAATAAATAAATAAAACATGCCTCTATTAAAAAAAAAAGTTTTAAAAAAAATGAGCAATGATGTAAAATATATGTATAAATAAAGATAAAAATGTATTGCATATATGAAATTTGCTAAGAAAGTAACTCAAGTGTGGCAACTTTATTTTGGTAACTATGTGAGGTGATAGATATGTTATTAGATTGGTATTTAGATTGATAGATATGTTATTTAGAGTGTAGTGATTGTTTCATAATGTAAATATTTATCAAGACATCAAGATATAGATTTAAATATATACAGTTTATGTCAAATATACCTGAGTAAAGTTGTGGGTGGGGGAACTAACACTAAAAATTCTAGAAGTGAATATAAAAATATCTTTGCAGCCTAGTAGTATATATTATTTCTTAAACCAGACCAAAAAAAAATCAGACCATAAAAGAAAGAAATAACAAATTGACCATTGAAATTATATATAACCCTTACTCCAAAAAAAAAAAAAAAGTGTTCTAGATCCTCTCTAGCCATCTTAACTTCAATATAAAACTTTCAAAAGTTTCTCTCTTTTTGCCTGCTTGTTATTTGGTCTTAAGAGGGGAAAGAGGGAAAATTGAGAGAGGATTTGAAGAGGGGAAGGGAAGGCAAGGAGAAAGGTTTTAGTTCAAAGAAGTTATATCCTGAAGAAAAACTAGAGCTTTTAAATACATGGTCTCATGGAAACAACATTCTTATGATAAAGAAAATGTGATGTATTTGTGTGTGTGTGTGTGTGATTATACCATCATATGTGGTGGAATATTATTCAACCAAAAAAAGAAGGGAGGGGCCTCCCTGGTGGTGTAGGGGTTAGTCTCAGGGCTATCACTGCCACAGCCTGAGTTCAATCCCCAGCCAGGGAGAAACCCACATGACAGAGCAGACCTCTCCTGTCTCATCCGCTGCTCCCCTCAGCAGTGTATTTCAGTAGATCCACTTGTTGTGCTCCCCACTCTGTCTCTGGTGAATCCTCTCACACCCCACCTCCCCCCATCACCTCTAGCCTACATCCCAGCTCTTGTATGCATAAATAAATAAAAATTGAAAAAAAAAGGGAATTCTGACTTTTGCCCCAACATGGATGGGTCTTGAGGGCATTATGCTAAATGAAATAAGTCGGGCAGAGAAAGACAAATACTATGATCTTACTTAGATGTGGAATCTTAAAAAAAAAAAACAAAAAAACAAGCAACTCATAGAAAAGGGGATCAGGTCTGTGGTTACCAGTGGCAGAGGGTAGGAGGAGAGGGAACTGGATGAAGTTACAAACTTCTGGTGTGAGATAAAGAAGTGTTGGGATATAAAGTACAACTACATTTAAAACTACACTGTGGTATGTTTGAAGGTTGCTAAGAGTAAATTTTTAAACCTCTCATCACAAGGACATTTTTTTTTCCTTTCCTGGACCTCTATGAAGTAAAGGCATAGGGTGTGGTAGTGATCATTTCACAATACATATACGTCAAGTCGACATGTTGTAACCTCAAATTTAGCATGTTGTAGGTCAATTAAATCTCAGAACTGAAAGAAAAAAACAGTACTTATTAGTAATATCTCACCCCACATCTAGGTTCTATTTCTCATATTTAAAAAAGCTAAATTAACAAAACTAAACCCATTAGGAGAATATGCCATTTTTTTATCTTCTTTCTTAGTGAAAGGCCAGTCTACATTTGGCCTAGTGCCAGCCTGGAGGGGAGGGGTGGGAGAGGGGAAAAAAGATGTGGAGATGCACTCTTGGTAATGACAAAGAGCAGATAAAGGGAAGAAAGGAAACTTCAGAGGCCCACTGGGAGGTTCTGGGTTCACAAAAGAACTGGAGATTTGAGGACCAATTTGTGGTGACTAAAAGGCTCACCAAGCAGCACAAGGAGACAGCAGCAGGGGATGGGAGTTGGGGGGGGCGGTTAGGAATGGAAGCAATGACTTCTCCATGTACCATCTGGGAGGGCCATCAACAGGGGAAGGAGTTATTCAAAACCTACCCTTGCCAATTTGATTCAACTGACAGCTAATTGCCAACTGTCTGGATTTGAGATGACTAGAAAGCTGGCTTTAAAACTTTGTCTCCATCTTACACAGACACAGGTGCTTGACTGAGGCTGGAGTGGTGAGCAACTCCCCATTCAGGGTGAACAATGGTTGTCAAGCAGGGTCTCCTGGGAGGGTGACTGCTTTCTGCTACCTCAGAAGAGCCAGTCAGGGACCCCTCCTGCAACATTAAAGTTTTTCTTTTGATTTCTTTGTTAAACCCTCAAGCAATATTTTCTGTTAGATACAAAGACTCAGGTGGATATAGCACTCAAATACGGTAAAGACTCACATGATTGGAAATTTCTAGTCACTTTCAGGTTCCATCCTTCTTACCTGTCCAGCACTGGGGAGATATCCAGCTTTCTCTGCTCCTTCTGACTTCATTCAAAACCTCCTAATCTGCCTAACATAATCCTGGAAACAATCAGACAAAAAAGTAAGTGGGGAGCTAGTGGATGAAATCTAATTTATTAGTCATTGACACCTGTGTAGAGACTTTGGCTTGAGTTTGAAATTTGGGGAAGGGAGTGATTAATAACTAGTCATTGATTTCCTCTTCTTGGAGACACATCTTTGGTTGCTTCTCTTCTCCAAGAGTGGATAAAAGAAAGAAGCTACAATAATTTCACCTGGAAATCCAGGCAGGAGGTGAAGAAGGTAGAGATTGGACAGTATCAAGCTCCTTGGTCTTTGTATTTTCTTAGATGGTGACAAGCAGGGGAGAAGGGCCCGAGTGGGTCAGAAAAGGTTAAGGAGGGCCTCCCCGGTGGCGCAGGGGGTTGAGGGCAGTGCTGTGAAGCTGTCCACAGCCTTTGCAGCATGGGTTCGATTCCCGGTCAGCCAGGGAGATACCCACAGGATGCAGCAGACCTCTCCTGTCTCGCTCACTGCTCCCCTCAGCAGTGTTTTAGGTCCATCTGCCTGCTCTGCTCCCCACTATGTTTCTGGTGAATCCTCTCACCCTCCCACGCCTCTGGCCTGTACCCCAGCTCTTGTATAACTAAATAAAATGAAAGAAGGAAGGAAGGAAAGAAGGAAGGAAGGAAGGAAGGAAGGAAGGAAGGAAGGAAGGAAGGAAGGAAGGAAGGAAGGAAGGAAGGAAGGAAGGAAAGAAAGAAAAGAAAGAAAGAAAGAAGAAGAAAGAAAGAAAAGAAAGAAAGAAAAGAAAGAAAGAAAGAAAGAAAGAAAGAAAGAAAGAAAGAAAGAAAGAAAGAAAGAAAAAGAAAGAAAGAAAAGGTTAAGGAAATCATTTGGCAGTGGTGTCCAGGAGGAAAGATGGGGCAAGGAAGTGGGAGGTCCCAGGCAGGAGGAAATCTTCCTGACACTTGTCCACAGGATGACTCAGGATCCTTGCCCCGCTTCCATTTCTTTGCAGAGCTACACCAGGCCAAGACCATGCAGCGCTGCCTGTGGTCATACATCATAACTGCTGTGTCCTTAATCTTTCTGAGCTTCTTCTTCCAAGAGAATAACAAAGAGTATCTTGACTACAGTGTGTCATTGGTAAGTACAGCAATCGAGTTGCACTATATGACAATTCCTCAGTCGTGGAGGGGACTTTTCCAGGTATGCAAACACTCTAGAATCACCACAGAAGTTTAAGAAGAGGGCAGATGTAGAGAAAAGATACTGAACTAGCTTTGAAACAGGTACAAGATTTAAATAAAGACAAGGAGGTTAAGATCAGGAACAATACAAGGATGTCCTCTCTCACCACTGCTCTTCAATATAATATTGGAGGTCCTAGCCCGAGCAATAAGACAAGAGAAAGACATACAAGGAATCCAAATAGGGAAATAAGAAGTAAAACTATCACTATTTGCAGATGCTATGATAATATACATAGAGAACCCTAAAAGCTCCACAGAAAAATTACTCAAAATAGTCAACCTTTTTAGTAAAGTAGCAGGATACAAAATCAACACACAAAAAGCAATAGCCTTCCTATACACAAACAATCTGAAGAAGAAGAAATCAAGAAAATCATCCCTCCCTTCTATAATTGCAACAATAAAACCAAATACTTGGGAAGAAACCTAACAAAAGAGGTGAAGGACCTATACAAAGAAAATTATAAAACACTGTTAAAAGAAATAGAAGAAGACACAAAGAAATGGAAAGACATCCCCTGCTCATGGATTGGAAGAATTAACATTATTAAAATGGCCATCCTACCAAAAGCAATATAGAGATTCAATGCTATTCCAATAAAAAATCTCAATGACATTCTTCAAAGAAATAGAACAAATACTAATGAAATTCATACAGAACCATCAAAAAACCACAAATAGCCAAAGCCCTACTGATGAAAACAAAAGAGAAAGGAGGTATCACACTTCCAAACTTCAAGCTGTACTATAAAGCCAAAATAATTAAAACAGTTTGGTATTGGAACAAAAACAGACACATAGACCAATGGAACCAAATAGAGAGCCCAGAAATAAAGCCACACTTATATGGACAACTAACCTTTGACAAAGGAGCAAAGTATGCGATGGAACATGGACAGTTTGCTCAATAAATGGTGCTGGGAAAACTGGACCACTACATGCAAAAAATGAAACTAGACCACTACCTCTCACCATGCACAAAAATCAACTCAAAATGGATAAAAGTCCTGGACATAAGAACTGAAATCATAAAATATATAGAAGAAAATGTAGGTAAAACACTACAAAGCATACATCTCAGTAACATCTTTATTTTTTTTAATTTCTTTTAAAGATTTATTTATTTATGCATACAAGAGCTGGGGTACAGGCCAGAGGTGTGGGGGGCGGTGAGAGGATTCACCAGAGACAGAGTGGGGAGCAGAACAGGCAGATGTACTGAAGTGCAAACTGCTGAGCAGCAGGCAAGTCAGGAGAGGCCTGCTGCGCCATGTGGGTTGCTCCCTGGCTGGCCAGGGGATCGAACTCGTGCTGTAGTGGCTGCGCACAGTTTCATAGGTTGCATCTTAACTCCTTGTGCCACCAGGGAGGCCCTCAATAACATCTTTAAAGACTCATCACCCAAAGTAAAGAATGTCAAGGAAAAGATAAACACCTGGGATTACATCAAACTGAAAATCTTCTGTACAGCAAAAGAGACATTAACCAAAACAGAGAGACACCCCACTGATTGGGGGAAAAAAATTGTACTCCATACGACTGATAAGGGACTGATAACAAAGATATACAAAGAACTCACACAACTCAACAAAAACAAAGTAAACAATCCAGTCAAGAAATGGGCAGAAGAACTTAAAAGACATTTCTCCAAAGAGGAATGCAAATGGCCAACAGACATATGAAAAAATGTTCAACATCCCTTATCATCGGGGAAATGCAAATCAAAACCACAAAGAGGCACCACCTTACACCACTAAGAATGGCACATATCAAAAAACTAGCAATAACAAATGTTGGCAAGGATGGGGTGAAGAAGGAACTCTCCTACATTGCTGGTGGGAGTGCAAACTGGTCCAACCACTATGGAGAGCTGTCTGGGTGTTCCTCAGTCTACTAAAAATGGAGCTACCACATGATCCGGCAATTCCACTGCTAGGGATCTACCCAAAGGACACAAAAACATTGATTCAAAAGACCACCTGTACCCCTATGTTTATTGCAGCACTATTTACAATAGGTAAAACCTGAAAACAACCCAAATCCCCAAAAATAGATGACTGGATCAAGAAGATGTGGTACATATACACGATGGAATACTATTCAGCAATCAAAAAAGATTGTGTGTGATTGTGTGTGATTCCCCAAAAAAATCATGCCATTCGCAGCAGCATGGATGGAGCTAGAAGGAATTATGCTCAGTGAAATAAGCCAGAAGGAAAAAGAAAAATATCAGATGGTTTCACTTATGGCAGAAATATAGAGGAACCAAATAAGACATCAGTGTAAAAAAAATAATAACAATACAAAACACAACAAAGCAAAAACAGACAATTATAAATCAGAGACATCCTGCAGGGGAGGAGGTGGGAGAGGGATCAGAGGGAGGGAGGGAGGAGCACAGGGGACTGAGGTGATGGTGCACGGGTGCATTGGGGAAGGAAATTCCATGGAGACTACACCTGAGGGGGTGGGGGAAGCAAATATTGTTTAAAAATGAACAATGTAAAAAAATTTTAAAAAGTTAATGGAAGGATAGGGAAGGATAGGGAAAGGAAAGGGAAAGGGAAGGGAAGGGGAGGGGAGGGGAGGGGAAGGGAGGGGAGGGGAGGGAAGGGTGGAAGGAGGAAAAGGAGGAAGAGAGGCATTTTAAGTGTGGAGAGAACAACACACAAGACACTTCTTGCAAACCAGGTTGACGAGTGGGCCTAGCGGCAGTAATGCCTGCCTAAGCGCCAGCTACTTTCCTCACCAGAGCCTGCATGAGAGATGTTATCCTTCCAGTCCTTATGTGAAGGGATTGAGACTCAGAGCCCTAGAGTAATTTCCTAAGCATAGAACATCTGCAAGTGGCGAAGACCAAATCCAATACAGGCCACGCGGAGGTTCTGGTGTAAACATTCTTTCCTAAATGCCTCAGACGAGCTAGAGAAAGGCAAGCAGGTGGGTGTGGGAAGTGGCTCAGTGTGCGTGGTCAGAACTGAAGAAAAGGGAAACCCGTAGCATGGAGGGGCCGTGTGTGATTCCCTAAAGGGCAGGACAATTCACTGGTCTTCAGCACCCGCACAGTGTAAACTGAGGCAGGTGACTCTTGCAGTCTGACAATGGTACAGAAATTAGATGGGGGGCATGGTGGGGCAGACAACTTTTTACTCTACGTAAGCCCAGGGGTTTCCTGCAGACACACCACACAAGATTAGGGAGTCCCACTTCCTTGACTCCAGGGTCCACCACACCTTCTGGAAGGCCCAGGATGAGATGGGGATAATGGTTAACTGAGCTTTGACACTCAGTCTCTCTGGTGACTAACAAGTGGATCTGCCCTTCAATTGTCTCCAGAAATCTAGGGCTGAACCTCAGAGCTGATGTGTATTCCATTCTCAGGAGGAAGAAAAGAAGAAAATAGTTTGGCAGCTACATAAGGAGCTAGTCACTAATGAAAGCAAGAATCATCTAGAGACCTTCAAGGAAATGCAGAAAAACTCCCCTTTACTCCAACATGCTAACTACAAACTCCTGGCTGGAGCTCCTCCCCGGAAAAAGAGTGAGTCCATGGGAGGGAGTGGTCATACTGGGAGAAGGTCAGACAAGACAGTCTTGCAAGAACAAGACAAGTGGGTAACAAGGAAGAGTGAGCTGGCAACCAGTAAGGAAAGGAGGGCACTCTGAGAGGAGCATGTTAGGGAATTTGGTGCAGGTTATAATCCTGAGTATATTTTCTCCCCACCTGCTGCCCCCTTGAATGACTAACAGAATGAAGAATCCATAGCCACCCACAAAGGAGCCCCCCCATAGTGAAACTCATTCATGGCAGGTCCCCAGGGAGGACAGTACAGGGTAGGAGAAGGGGAGGGAGCCCTGGTAGAGGGCAAAGAGGGTTGATGGATATGGACGCACTGTACACTAGGTTACCAGAACTTGGGGTTCACTTAGGCCCCTGGAGATACCCTAATCCACATCTGGCTGATTCATAGCAGCTAAAATAACTCTTAGGTCAAGGCCAGGCTGAGATCAATTGCCAAGCCCGTCAATTTATCTTTGGAACAAGGAAGCCTTCCCCATCAGAGAGAGCCCTGTCCTTCATAAAGTTTCCCCCTTCAGCCTTTCACAGCAGCGATCTAATAAAACCACTTCACAACTACCGAGGGGACACTCACCTCTTATCTGGACCACACTATCCCTGGGCAAGGAAATGCGAATTTGTCACAGGTATTGACATTAAGGGGAAGACCAGGGAGAAGAGATCTAGGAAGTCTTCACCTCCTTGGAGTGCTAAAAATTCCCTATCTCTCCCCCACCCCCAGAGCTGCTGACGGTGGGGATTTCCTCAGTGAGGCATCCTTCAGAGAGCTACCTCCTGGACACTCTGAAGTCCCTGTTTGAAGGTTCCACAGAATCTGAGCTGAACTGCATTGTGGTGCTGGTCCACCTGTCAGTCCCTGACTCTGAGTTGCTCGGCCAAGTGATTGCCAATATCCAAAGCCTTTTCAAAGCACATCTCGAGGCCCACAGGCTGCTTGTGATCCAAGGTCATCTTGGTGCCTCTCCTCCCCCAGGAGATCTGAAGAGCGCCAGGAACTCCTCACACTGCGAGGCACTTTATTCCAGGCAGAAAGTCAGTTACTCCCTGCTCATGAACTTCGCCATCAACATCTCAGAATACTTTCTGATGCTTGAAGATAATATTCGCTGTGCCCCCAAGTTTGTGTCCACCATCTACTGGACATTATTAGCCTGGAAAGATCTACCTTGGGTAATCCTGGAGTTCTCCAGTCTGAGTTTCTCCGGGAAAGTTTTCCACACCCATGACCTCCACCGCCTGGCGTCTTTCTTCCTCCTCTTGCAGCGGGACATTCCCACTCACTCACTTCTCTCTGAATTCCAGCTCCTCTTGGCCCAAAGTGTCCCAATTCGTTTCAGTCCCTCTGTCTTCTACCACTGGGACAATTATTCTGTGTTCCAGGACACGTGCTTTCCCGTGCAGGAGGAAAAGATCTTCGGTGAACCAGACAACCCCAGTGCCAGTGTCCTCACTGACATGATGACAATATCCAACATTATTCCAGATTATGCATATTTTCTGAACAAGGAGTGCTTTTCTACCCTCGATGCTGTAAGAGGCAACTACTTGACTGTGGTTTTTGAAAGGCCACAAAATGTGATCCGGATAGAGGTGCTGACGGGTTCTGAAGAACAAAAGCAGTACCAGATGCAACACGGGCAAGTAGAACTGGGCTATGATCCCCTCAAGAATGCCAAAGGCTGTGCTCGCTATAGTCTGCTGGGGCCCCTGGTTGAAGGAAATTTGGATCAGAGGGTGTTTTATGAAACAGATTCTGTGGAGGAGCTGAGTTGCATACGACTGCTCGTGCTAGCATCTCAGGAGTCTTTGCTCCTGATCAGGCAGATCAAAGTCTGGACTCAGAATGAGGAAGAAGAGACTTCGAGGGAAAAGGAAATTCTGCCTGATGGGGTTTGAGGATGAAATCTACATGGTTGGCAAGAAATAAAGCTAGAAATTGAACAAGGCCTGCTCATTCCAAGGGTTACAGGACAGGGAGAGGGGCACCCCAGAACCCTCAGACCTGCCTGCTCTAAGTAGGTTCTGCCATCGGCCACAAGACTAAACATATAAGACCTTTAATGGTTACCCATCCCCTCGTGTGTAAATGCCAGCCAAATAGGGTTGGCCCAAAGCAGGGGCAGTGAGGGCTGAAACACTGCCATGTGGCTGAGACACGGTCTGGCAGTGACCCATAGAAGAGGGTCAGAAACAGGCAGACAAATCTGGGAGGAAAAGAGCAACATCAAAGCCAAGAAAAAAGCTGCCATTGTCACCTCCCCACAGGTCTCTCATCTATCCCACATCTATTTCAACCAGTCTAGGACCAAAAAAGCAAGAGCAGCTTCTTCATATGTCTCTATTCCCTGTGCCTCCTCCAGGTCTCCTTCTGGCTCCCCATCCTGCTTCCTTCCTTCCCCAGTCTCCTCTCCAGCTTCTCCTCCTCCCTGCTCAGCTCCACCCTCCCTTGGGTGGGGCAGGGAATCTGGAACCTCCCCTTTTCCGGGGACCACCGTGTCGTCGGGTGACCATGTAATTTATTGTCCAAACTGGAACATTTCTAAGAGTAAAAGGAAGCACTATAAAAATTATACTAGAGTAATAGTTGTAATCTAGGACTGTCTCAGGCAAGCTGAGATGCCTGGTCATCCTAACGCTGACTTTTATAGTCTACTTAAGTCTGATGAGGGGCAGAGACAAAACAATATTCTTCTGATTTCCAAGGGTCGGAGAGGGAATCACCAAGAACTGTCTTGGTTCTCGTCTACATGCAACTATAACACCTTAAGGTCTTTCCATGAAGGAATTGCTGCTCTATCTACAGCTGCGATGGGTTTGGTAGTATGATGACATAGGTGGTGACATTGGCTCAAATCTGTATTTGACTTAATCTGTTCAGGTTTCTGTAGTAGGATACCATAGTCTGGGTGGCTTATAAACAACAAAAATTTATTTCTCTCAATTCCAAAAAATGGGAAGTCCAATATCAAGTGCTGGCAGATTCAGTGCCTAGTGAAAGTCCACTTCCTGGCTCATTTATGACCGTCACTGTGTTCTCATATGGCAAAAGGGGTAAAGGAACTCCTTGGTTTCTTTTTTAAGGTTACCTAATCCCATTCATAAAGGCTCTGCCCACATGGCCAAATCACATCCCAAGGACCCCACCTCCTAATATCAACACTTTGAGAGTTAGGATTTCAACATACGAATTGGGAGGCTGGCAGGTAGACAAATATGGGCCACTGCAGGACCCAAACCTCCAATGCTCCAGGGTTGACGCCTTGTTGGAGCAAAGCTTGCTCAGCCAGGATTCAGGAAGGAGCAATTCAAGTTTCTGTGAATCCCCTAGAAGGCTGTGAAAATTTTGGTATGAATTCATATGCAGATTTTTCTGAGGAGATAATATGTTCATCAAAGCATTGAAATGTTCGTATCTACCTCTGAAAAGTTAAGAATAGTGAAACTAGCAGCTGTAAACATCTTTTGAGTGTAGAAACAATCTGTCACAACAGAAATATTTCTATATCCATTGGGAAAATTAGAAATTAGGGTTACATGTTCTTTTATGATCCACTCAACAAATATTTGGGTATAGACTTATGACTGAGTGCTGTTAAAGACGGTGTGAATAATAAATTAACCAAACAAGGGACTTATCAAAAATCAGCCATTAAAATAAAATGTAGGTGTAAATACAGGTGTCAGTTTCCTCTGAATTGATTAATAAAGTTTATGAATCCCCATAAATACACAGATGAGGGGTTCTGTCATTTTTTCATCTTGAAATTTTTCCTAAAATGAAATGTATGGAAAAAATATTTTAGGATAAGCAGTTGTCTCTCACTAGAATATTTATCCTCCCATTTCATTAAAAATAGAATTACAACAGAGGAGACTATGTACACACCTAAAAAAGAACAAAAAAATCCATGTGTTTGCCATTTGGGTTAACCAATGGGATGAAAGCAAAATCTTCAGGTAAGGTTTCCATTTAAAAACCCCAAGAGGGGCCTTAGTTGGCTGAAAGGCAAAAATCTCTTCAGCTTTGGATGAGACTCAACAAAAACAAAGAAAATAATCCAGTCAAAAAATGGACAGAAGAGCTAAAAAGAAACTTCTCTGAAGAGGAAATGCAAATGGCCAACAGGCATATGAAAAAATGTTCAACATCACTTGTAATCAGGGAAATGCAAATCAAAACTACAATGAGATACCATCTTACACCGGTGAGAATGGCACATGTTGAAAAAAACTAGCAACAACAAATGTTGGCGAGGTTGTGGAGAAAAAGGAACTCTCTTGCACTGCTGGTGGGAGTGCAAACTGGTCCAACCACTATGGAGAGCTGTGTGGAGATTTCTTGAACTACTAAACATAGAGCTTCCATATGATCCAGCAATTCCACTCCTAGGTATTTACCCAAATGACACAGAAACATTAATTCCAAAGGGTATCTGCATGCCTATGTTTATAGCAGCACTGTTTACAATAGCTAAGCTATGGAAACAACCCAAATGCCCAAAAATGGATGATTGGATCAAGAAGATGTGGTGCATATACACAATGGAATATTACTCAGCAATCAAAAAAGATAAACACATGCAGTTTGCAGCAACATGGATGGCACTGGAAGGGATCATGCTCAGCGAAATAAGTCAGAAAGAAAAAGAAAAATACCATATGGTCTCACTCATAGCAGGAATCTAGAAAACTTAAATAATAGACCAGGAAAAAGACTAATCAATACAATCCTCTCACCCTCCCGTGCATCTGGCCTGTACCCCCATTCTTGTATAAATAAATAAATCTTTAAAAAAAACTTTTTAAAAAATTTTAAAAAATCAGCATTCAAGTTGGCACTGCCTTTCATTCCCTCCCCCGACCCCAGATGCCTGAAAAGGCAAATGCAAATCTTTCAGAGGAAACTAAGACTCTGAGAATCTTTGAAAAGTTCTAAAATAATAAGTTCACAGTAAAAAAAAAAATCACAAAACACACAAGGAAATAGGCTTCAAAATGGAACAGTCTAAGTGAAAGAAATGTGCAGCTAGTAAGATGTAAACTGCCCACATCCTGCGTGAACAGCTAGGTTGAATCCCAGGCTGAGGTGCCACAGAATCCTGTCGAAACAGGTGATCTAAATCATGGACTAGCAGTTCTACTTTTCATTCTGATCAAACAACTTGGTCCCCCCACACTGACCATAAGTTGCCACGTTAGCCAAAAAGCTTTAGATTATGGCTGGTGATTATCGCACAGTTTCCTGGAGGGAGTAGGCTGAGAGCCCACATGCACAGTCTGTTCCTCCCGGGCATTGCCCCACCCTGATCCAGGCATGGAGCTGCTCTCCTCCACCTGCTTCGCGGACCTACTCTTGCCTCCTAACTCCCTCCGAGAGGCCAAGCTAAATTCTCCGTTCCAAGAAAAAGAAAAAATATTGGATGGTTTCACTTGTAGGAGGCACGTAGAGGATCCAAATAAGGGATCGGGGGTAAAAAAAAGTTATTATAATAAAGTGAAAATCAAAATCAATAAACAACTATAAACCAGAGACATTCTGCAGGGGGAGAAGGGAGTAGGATCAAAACAGGGATGGCAAGAGCACAAGGGACCACGGTGATGGTTCACAGGTGAATGGGTGGTGGGAATTTCATGGGGACTATAACCAAGACGAGAAAGCATATATTGTACAAAAATGAAGAATGATATAAAAAATATATAAAATAAAAATAATAATAACAAAATAAAAAATAAATTCTCCCTTCCAGCACTGGTTCTCTTGTGCATGAGTCTCTAATAAAGACTTGCCTGGTTCAACTACATCTAGTGCTGTCTGGTGAATTCTTTCTCAAGAGGGCAAAGGATCCCCCTTTGGGGGTCACAAAAGAGGTAACAATAATGGTATACTTGGTAACAATAATGGGAATCAGAATTTTAAAAATAATGAATCAGAGTGTAAACAAAATATGAAATTTCCTGGGGACCCACCCCCTGGTCTAGTAGGAAAGATAGCGAAGTCATTGTTGCAGGTTCCACCCATACAAGGCGGTCTTTTCAGACAAAAAAAGGCTCTAACAATGAGTACCCAGCATATGCTCCTTTGCAGCGCATGCTTCAGAGAGGAGGAGAATAAATCGAGCCTTCCTCTGGCATTAATATAGCTCTAGATCAGGGCAATTTAGAACCAACACCCGCCCCCCATTAATGTCAATCAATGGCTCACTGTTTTTGCCTATATAAACAAAATTCAATATAAACAAAATATAAACAAAATTCAAACTTGTGTTTGGAGGAACAAGGAACAGTTTCAACAGAATAAAATCTGTTGGACTGCTTCCTGGGTTCAAATTCTCACTTTGATTATCTAATAAACTCTTCATCTACTTTGTTTTAAGATTTATTTTTATTTATGCATCCAAGAACTGGGGTACAAGCCAGAGGTGTGGGAGGTAAGAGGACTCATCAGAGACAGAGTGGGGAACAAAGCAGGCAGATTGACTGAAACACACTACTGAAGGGAGTAGCAGGCGAGACAGGAGAGGTCTGCTGCACCACGTGGACAGATTCCTGGCCAGCCGGGGATCGAACCCATGCTGCAGAGGCTGCGGATAGCCCCACAGTGCTGTGCTCAACCCCTTGCGCCAGCAGGGAGGCCCTCATTGTTTTTCAGTTAACAAGAGCTAAAACAACTTCAAATATTGGGGGTCTCCCTGGTGGCCTAGGGATTAAGTCTCAGTGGCACTATCACTGCTAAGGCCTGAGTTGGATCCCTGGCCAGCCAGGGAGCTCACCCACATGGCGCAGCAGCCCTCTCCTGTCTTGCCCGCTGCTCCCCTCAGCAGTGTATTTCAGTCAGTCTGCCTGTTCTGCCCCCCGCTCTGTTTCTGTCGAATCCTTTCACTCTCTGCACCTCTGGCCTACATCCCAGTTCATCTATGCATAAATAAATAAATCTTAAAAAACAAAAGACTTCAAATATTGGAAATAGCAGACACAGAATTTTTTAAAAAATTGATTTTATTAAAACTAAAAGAACTGAAAATATGAGTAAACAGCAAATGACTAGAAAAAATGATCAAGAATATTTGTAAAACAGAACTCTTACAGAGATAAAAGATGTAAGTGCTCACTTCCATAGCACGATACTAAAATTGGAACAATACAGAGGAGATTAGCATGGCCCCTGCACAAGGATAGCATGTAAATTTTGAAGTGTTCCGTGCTTTAAAAAGAGAGATGAAAGAATAATAATTGAAATGTAAATCCCAATGGAGGGACATCCAGCAAGACGGTGGAAGGGTGAAGACACTGGACTCGCCACCTTCACATGTTTACACACACAAATGAACACGACTGTCACTGAGGACCAGCAGATGAGCAATGTGTGTATAAAGAGCAACCGCCCAGCAGAGTGGACAGGCAAAATGGAAATGTGATGGTGTTTAGAGCATCGCCCATGCAGCACAGTCCCAGAAAGCCTCTCTTTTGTTGCCTGCTGAAGGCCTCATGCCTACATTGGGACTTTAGGACCCCAGGACTGCAATGCGCACATAGTCAAGTGCAGGAATGAGGTTTCTACCTCTAGAAAACTCTACGAGTGGACAGAACTCCGGAGCAAAGGCAGACACGACACAGCCAGGGAGCAGCCAGGCACCGGCTCCATGCAGTGAAACCCCTGCCTCTGGCGTGGAGAGACACTGGCAGTGGGCTTTCCTGGCAACCACCAGTGTGGGGTCTGTGTAAGATGGTGATTGTCAGCTTGAGTTTGTGACTGTTGTGTGTGAACAGACAGAGCCCTAACTGTTGGGAAAGACTAGACCAGCTCACTTTTGTTTCCATACAGAAGCGGCTCTTCTCTGTAACTGACAGTGATGTCACACAAAATACCCGCTTCACCCCTGTGGGGCCAGGCCAGTAACTCGAGTTCAAATACCTGGGTACTGGCAACAGGAACAAGTGCCTCGGGGTAAGTTTCTGCACTTGAAAGGCCAGGGAACAACCAATCCCCTATCAGGACAACACACACGCCCCACCCCACCCCCCCTGCAGCAACTCTATCCAACTACCATCCCTCCTGGCGCTATGACCATTGAAAGGGGATTGAGAGAGGTCTGCAGCGGAGGCACGCTTTTGTGGAAGGCACCTGCAAACCGTGAGAAACACACTCCCATCATGGATCTGTAACCAGAACCAGGACAGATGCCTGTCCACAGTAAGAACAAGCAACTCTCAGACTATTCTGCTCCTTCCCACAACCCAGAAAGGAAAGAAAATCTGCCAGAGAATCCACATACCAGAGCTGACCCACAGCTGAGAGGCTGGTGCTAGCCCAGAAATATTTGGGACACTAACTATGGAACAGGTCTAGGAAGAGGAGTCACTGTAGAGGAGACATGCACGCATGCACACACACATACAATGTGGGCATCTATGGCACTTCAGGGAGCATGAACTCTTGGGGTTTGCTAGCAGCAACCTCCTTGTACCAAGCTGCCCCAGCTCCTACCTCCTACTCCCTGTGGGCACCAGACCTCAGTCATCTGAACAGGTGCCAAGGCATTAGTCTGTGAAACTGATACCGGAATTGTAGGTTTTCAGGCCTATTCTCCTAGGCAGGCACGGATCCCAGGCTGCAGGGGCAGCACTGAGTCCCAGCCACTAGACCACCTGGGGTTGGTGTTTCACAAAGTGGGACTCCCAGGCCATGGAACCAGGCCAGGGAGGGGCAAGGAAGGAGAAGTGGAGTCATGTCTCAGGGAATACAGACCTTCTTTCCCCAATTATTCTAAAGCTCCACCAGTCTCTTTGTGATTGGTTAGTTCTTGGTGCTCTCACTCACTGCCTAAATGTTTCTGTGCCCAGAATTAAGTCTCTGTGTCCAAGCGCTTATCTTTTTTTCTTCGTTGCCCTCTATTTGGAATGTCTTGTTGACCCTAAGGTCATAAAGTAAGTCCCTAATGTCATAAGTCCTGGGGCATTTGATTAGTACCCTTTGGAATTTGTGGCTCTTAACTCTCCTGAAGTCCCTGCACTGTCCTTGAGGCTGCCTATTTATCCTTAACTTGCCCTAGGATTCAAAACAATGGACACCAAGGATCCCAGGTAAACCAAGGGTTCTATCCTACAACCTATAAATGCCATACAAGGCAAATTCACCAAGCCAAGAAAAGAAAGCTCTTTATCTCAACTCATATAAACTAAAAGTGAGGAACATATCAAAAATGATAGAACAAAAAGCCGTGAAAAAAAAGTCCAAATCTGGCAGAACCATGAAACTTATCTGATAAGGAGCTCAAGGTAACAGTTATAACTGTGCTTATCAAAATTAGAAAAATAATGAACAAAAGCAGAAATACAGGGTAGAGAAAACATGAGGATGCTTCAAACAGAATTAATGGTCTTTGAAAATTCCGTAACTTGCAAAGAATTCTCATGACCACCAGGGGTAGTGAAAACTAACATGACCTCTTGGGAAAACTGTCAGTGTTTACTGTAACCATATGTCTGTCTACTTAGGATGAGGCACATATATATCCTGTTATATATATCCACTCCTAGATATATACAACAGAAATACAAGTGCAAAAGCACATGTCCAATAACGTATATGGAGCACAATTTATAGTAGCCACAAATTCCAGGTAACCAAAGGGATATCATCAGTAGAATGGACAAATAAAGTTGGTCCAGTCACGCAATGGAATACTAGTCAGTCGTGAAAAATGAACAAATGGTCATCACATTATGTCATCACAAATATAATGCCAAAGAAGCTGACACAAAGGAGTGATAGTACAGATAAACCCTTATAAAGGGTGAAATTAATTTGTTGTGTGAGATCTGGGTAACAATTACTGTTGTAGGGGAGAATTAGGGTGTAGGCCAGAGGCACAGGGGTGAAAGAGTAGAGAACAGAAAAGGAAGATTTATTGAAATACACTTTTCAGAAGCAGCAGGTGAGATAGGAGAGGTCTGCTGGACAGAGAGATGTGCTTGAGGCTCTATTTATACTCCAGGCATCATTGGTTAGGGTGACTGGTTTTGGGTGTGTCCTGACTCATCAGCTTAAGGGATCATCAGCTTAGCAGCCCGGTTCCCATGGCAGCCCCATCCACTCCCTTTATCCATTCAAGCCTCCCAAACTTGCTTGCTGAGCAAGGAGTGGGGACTTATTTTTTGGATTTAGTAAAGATCCAGGACAGTTACTTCTGAGTGGTAGAAAATGGGAGTGCACATAGAGGCAGCTGAAGTCCTGATTTTTTTTACATTTTATTTCTTTTTTTTTTTTAAAGATATATTTATTTATTTATATAAGCACTGGGTACAGTCAGAAGTGCAGGAGGGTGAGAGAATTCACCAGAGCCAGAGGGGAGAGCAGAGCAGACAGACTGATGAAGTACACTGCTGAGGGGAGCAGCGGATGGCAGGAGAGGACTGTGCGCCATGTGGGACCCTCACCCGGTGGCCAGGGATCGAACCAGCTCTGCAGAGGCTGCAGGTAGCTTCACAGCACAGCGCTCAACAGCCACGCCACCGGGGAGGCCCTTACATTTTATTTCTTAATCCAAGTGGGTGTGATCTCTTGGTGGAAAGTCATTGATACCTGCATATTAGGAGGCAAAACATAATTAGATTTAATTTACAACAGGGAGAGGAAAACTGGAAGCAACTCTTTAGGGGAGCTCTGCTGCAAAAGTAGGGAGAAAATAGAATGAGTAAATTGGCAGAGGAAATGAAGACAAGGTAGTTTGCTTTCTATTTTTAAGAATGCCAATGGTAACAATCCAGTTGAGAGTGAAAAGTTTGACATAGACAATAGAATTACTGCCCTCCTATTTTACAGGGCAACCCTGATATAAAACGGGTTGCCTGACTGTGGGTCCTCACCTGCGTGCTTAAAAAGGACTTATAAATACTCAACTGCAGGCACACAAAAAAGGTTAATAAAAGGTTTATTTACAAAAGAAAGGGAAAATGAAGAAATGAATAACTCAAGGAGAAAAAGAGGGAGATAAACTCATGAATGTGTCCTACTGGTTCCTCTGACTTGGAATACCAATGGCACACTGACAGCTGGCGAAGAGCCAAGAGCCATGAGGCCACGGGCACAACCCAAGGCACGTGTCTGGTTTTACACCAAACCTGGCTGCTTAACCCCACTCTCAGATCCCAGCAGCCATCCCTTTGGTGATGATGGGATTTGTCATTCCCAATGTCTTGATGGCTTTGGTCTGGAGTGGGGGCAGGGTCCACAAAACCTGTATGGAGTTTGCTCAGGCATCCTTTCCCCCTAACGCTATCTTCAATTAGTTGGAGGGTGTGACCTGGTGCCTAAGCAGAGCAAATGTTTTCAGATTAGGATTAATCAATGGTAACAGGTGGGGAGGCAGAGTATGTGGGTGCAGACTCTGGCGGGTGGGTAGAAGCAGTGCAATGTGTCTTCAGAAATTCTCTTCTGATTGCTTCAAATTTTCAGTGAAAAAAGAAACAAATGCATCAGCTGAGGACGGAGGAAGAGGTGTTGGAAGCCAAGATGACAGAGAAGATGGTAAATATTCTACAACAGTAAAAGAGAGAATGGCCTAGGGCAGTTCTACCACAGCATTATGGCCCCACTCTGGTTCAGGATCAGGAATTCAAGTGACCCTGATCAACATGGCTGTGCATAACTCCCAGCCATGGGCGGCCGAAGAGGTACAGGTTCAGGATGGACCAAGAAAACTGACCATTATATTTATTTATTTATTTATTTATTTATTTATTTATTTATTTTAAGGATTTATTATTTATTTATACAAGCACTAGGTACAGTCAGAAGCGTGGGAGGGTGAGAGAATTCACCAGAGCCAGAGCGGGAAGCAGAACAGGCAGAAGGACCGAAGTACACTGCTGAGGGGAGCAGCGGGCACAGCAGGAGAGGTCTGCGCACCATGTGGGACCCTCTCCGGTGGCTGGGGATCGAACCGGCGCTGCAGAGGCTGTGGGCCACTTCGCAGCCCAGCACTCAACTGCTGCGCCACCAGGGGAGGCCCTGACCATTATATTTAAATAGACCATAGGTTATAAGTTCACCAAAATTATACAATGCACTGAGAGAGGCAAAGAAGGTACAAGTATGTGCAAGGTATGACCGTGGGGATGGGCCACTGGATTCCATCTATGTAAGCATGGGGGATGGACATCAAGGAAGGAGGTATAGTCAAGCAGGAAATAATTCACAGTACAGG